CAATCAATCAAGGTTTTGACCATAAAGGGGATATTAAAAGATCATACGTACACATATACATCGGGTATATAGGACTACCTCGCTTATACTTATCTCTAGTGTATTCTCTGTTATCATATACGCACAGTAGTATAGCTTAGATTATCTCTCTTAATATAATCTGCATCCTGCACTTCTCACAATAGCATTTGATAAACTAGATTATAAAGTTTCTAAGAATATGAATTATAGAATTGAATTATAGAATGAAGTTTATATAATTCTATACTTTTGTTTATTCAATTCATACTAATAACTTTTTGATATTAAGCTACAGAAGAACAATCTCATTGATTTCTAAAGTACATTGCACGATAGACACTTGAATCTTCAGGCTAAATAACAATAGTTAGAAAGAAGTTGGACTTGGGTCTTTACTAAAGGTTTCATGATTTTGAACAAAAGATATGGTGTGATTGTACTAAATTGCATGGAAACAGTCAAGTGATTTTGAAGTCAGTGAATGGTACTCCTGCGAGATCAACATTTGGATTTCTTCAGTTTGATGATTGAGTTTCCTCCACTTGAATCCCTAGCTATGTTTTCCCTCTTGTTGAGAGCAGGTGATACACATTGTGAATGCCGCTCACATCAACTTTGGATGGATTGAAAACACAGTTCACAAAGTTTTACAGACTCTAATCACAGCACCTTAGTCCAATCACTATATTGAGAATATGGATAATACTTGGAAGTTTACTGAATAACCAGGGGACTTTACTGTTAATTCGATTTTATATAAGGCTCCCTTCCTGCCAGAGTTTCTTCTCTTTTAAAACTCAACAAACTACAACTACCACACACAGCGAAAGAATCAAACACACAATAAATCACGAATGACCATCAATCATCCAACATACGCACCCAAAGATTCAACCCTAAGTCACACGATGGCTTCTAACCTCAATATAAACGTTTCCGTCCAACTAAATGGCTACCCCTTATTCGGATCGCCCCAAATAGCCATTAGTTCCACTCGAGCTCGCGCTATACAAAGCACCATCGATAAGTGCGCTCAAGATATCGGATATCAACTCACACGAGCTGGTCCAGAAGAGAGAAGAGATGCGGAGCATGACAGGAAGTTCCAGGGAGATATGAGGGAACTTATAGGAAATCATAAACCTACTTGGGACAGCCGGTTTTAAGTGGTCGAATGGGGGGGAGGAAGGTTAGTGGGTTTGTCACTGGGATGAGGAACATCTTGAGCTTGTCTAGTTCCTGCATGAAACTCTGGGGTCTGACTTCCAGATGTGGACTCGTTTGGTGGATGGAGATGTAAATAGGATATCAAACAATGCATGGCTTCCAACTTGAAATTAAATACACCTTACATGCGGATGTGAATCCATATTTTTTTGGTAGAACTTGAGGCCTATTGAAGATAAAAGCTGTCCGCCCAAGTGACTGGTCTTCTCCTGTAATATATATTCAGCGTTGATCGGGCATTGTGGTTCATACATGACTACTTGTAAGTATAATACCCATGCTCTCTATATAAAGTTTTGCAGAATAAACCGCGAAATACACAAAGCATTAACATTTTCACATCTCTGGACGGATGTAAGAGCTTCGAATATAAATAAAACGGGGTTTAGGTTGTGGCTTTTCAAAATGGATCTTTCTTTGTTGACATGATTCAGATAATGCGGTTTCACAAATATGCATTTATTTCTATCCATAATTAGCGGCTTCTTTTATACTCAAGCATGGCGAGGCAGTGTCCCTTTTCAGGCCGGGGGAAACAGGGTGGGTTATTTGCGTCCCCTTCACTTCAGCACCTGATATCACAAAGTATATATTTCAAGGCTTTTTGGGTACAACTAACGCGAGAACTCATCCCCCACAACAACAGTTGTTTAGTATCTACGGTCTGAGAGATCTCGTAATCCCCAAAGATTTTCTAACTCCTGAGCTCTTTAACATCTTGGTAGTTCAACATTCTAAACCACTACCACGCAGGTGTCTTGCATTTTTTACATCACACCGAGCGGTGCGGAAATTTGGTTGTAATTGATTGGTGTAAAAGGAGCGTTGATAAGGGCAAATTTGATGACACTGATTCGGTGAAAATGACAAGATTATGAGTAGCGAGCGACAACGATCGTGAAGTGACGAATATGTACACAATGCTAAGAGATTTGACAGTGAGGTAGGCACCGAGTGAGAATGGGCATCAGAAAACAGTAACTTTTATGTTGAGTTATCTTCTTGAATAACTTGGCAAGAACATTATTCACTAACCTTTAGTACGGTCAAATTATGTCAAGCACACAGACCTTCATCGGATGAGTCTACTCGAGTAGTGGCAGGAATATATTGTCATGTCTTATACTATAATGGGCAGGAGCAACTTTTCATACCACAATGAGTGGAGGATTTTAAGTAACTCGGATAATGAGAAGAAACAACTGACAGTGGATGTAATAATTTTTCCGAGATTAATCATGCTGACAAGTGTTGCAGTGAAGACCTGGTATAGTTCTAGTCATCAACACTGGATATTTGTACGTACCTGCATATCAATATGATATGGTTGCGCTGAAGAAAGCCCACTCTGTCTTTCTGCATGATAACAATATCCCAGAACCTCAATTTGTTGACTACGTATTCAAATATTGGCAACCGCTCAAGATGTTTGCTCATTTGCCATCATAACATCAAATGAATGTCGAAACCCCATATCTTGAGTGTCAAGCTTTTCTTCCACGGCTACTGTGACAAGTCGTTCCTTCCAAAACCAATCTGCCAAAGGATCTGATCAAAGTCTTCAAGCTACACAGAAAAGCATAATCTCAATGACAACTAGAAGCTCGACAATGATAGGCCGTCGCCTATCATATTACAAGCCCCTACACCAAATTGAGCCGGCAAAAGCTGATAATCTGATGGGCCACCGACCATCATTTCTCAAGCCTCCAATGTGAAATTTTGAATAAACCCGGTGGAAAATTCCAAGAAGCTGGGTGTTTCCACCCATACCTTTACATCACTTTTGGCGAAGTGAGTTTTGGAAACATCCCGAAGGAAAAAACCAGAAGCTGGGAGTTTCCCCCTAAACCTCTAAATTATTAGCTCAATACTTCATGAGCCAATGGGGACAGCCTTAGAGCCGCCGAAAGATAGGCCATGTGTTCTCGGATAAACCATCGGTCAAGTATCCGGTCAAGCAGAACATCAAATTTCTCACGCTCGTGTCAACCGAAGGGGCATCCGCAGAGACCACACTAGCGCGGAGACGAACAATGGGTCGTGAGACTATAACCAAGGTACGGGGCCAGCCTTAAGCTGAAAGTGAGAGGCAAAGTTTTCCCCACTGGCATGTTGCCTATGATAATAATTAGCATGTTGATCAAAGAGTAGTATAGAGGAAGAGGAGGAGGAAAGGAAAGAAAGGGGGGGACTTAGTTTTGGATGATGGAACTGATGAGAAAAAAAAAAGAGAAATGGAGAATGGGTTTGTTTATATAGACATCTGGCTGCTGCAGAAAGTTCAGATCACAACACTAGATTACTTTGGGTCTATTCAAATTGTAATGTCAATATGTCATATGATGCGTGCCTTGATTAGCCCTCTTGTAAAAGCCGGGAAATTATGCGCTAAAAAAAGTATATCGCTAGTCGAGGTCCGGACTAAAATCAAGGCAGCATTCATCAACGAATAATACCACAATGACTGATTAACTTTCCGAAAACTTTGGTAATTATTTCAAATGAAGATGATCTAGTTGATAATAACGGCTGTCAAGGCGTAGACATGGTAGTGCATTTTCCTTAGAGAGACCCTGATTGATGCACATAGTACGAATCTGTCATAGACCAAATAAATCTTAGCGTGCGCATCTAGGGCCGCAACGCGTGATATGAACCCGATCAGTTACTTATTCTTGATTTCGGTGTAGCCATACCGGGCCATTGTAAACTTGTTTAGTCTTTGAAATAACGAGCCGTGTCCCCGAGTAAACTGCCAGAACCCAGATTCTGATTGAAACTATGCCACTATTTTATCTTTCATTTCCTGACACTAATCAAACATGCTACTAGTTGTTTTCCTATCTTCTCGTCGTTACCATCGCTACAATTCGGAGCCTCTGAGATTTCTCGGTCTTACGATTGTTGCTATCCGCAAACCCGCAAATCCGATCGATGAGTGCAAGGTAGTGTGATCAGATGACGAGGTCGGTCACGCAGGGCACTTGCAGGAGTAAATTCAACCTCAGAGTCGGTGCAATGGAACTTTATCGTGATCGAAGAGGTTAGAGAAAGCTCTAATGTAAAGCTGCTTCTGTAGCTTCTACTCTATCAATCAAACTGTGTTTTTGAATCGCTTCTTGATATTTCTTGCACGTGAACCTGGGCAGCATACCGAAATTCCCATCATATTTTCACCAATACTCTAACTTCTCCACCGCTGTCTCAAACGGTAGGAGAGAGGAAAACATAGACTTTTTACTAGGTGTAAATCATTGAGGGAATATAAAACTTACTACACAAGGCTATCCCATTACCATTAATACACTGTAAAATTTCTTCATTTGACCTTGAAAGTAGAAGCTCCTGTAAGCTCCAATTATCTCCCCCTTTCATCTTCTCCGAACCACTCCACTTCCCATCTTCTTGTTCTTCTCTTCTATGCTTGTCTTCCTCTCTTGTGCTGAAGCCCAGGTGAGAAGACGACTTCTCATGATATTCGAGGTGATTTGATCAATAAGACCTACAGTATATGGCAGTCAACAACTTTAAAATATACATGATCAATGATGAAATCCATTGTGAAACTTGACCCACAATTTTATTTCTTAATCCTGATTTTGAGATGAAGAAACTGGTAGATCCAAGTTGGGGTTGATCGTCTTGGAGAACTGGAATAGCAAGATAGAGTTGCATAATATCTGGGAGTTAGTGAAGGTACAGGAGATTGGTTGTCTGACTGTCGTGGGTAAGGTTAAGGTGAAAGCAGGAATGGTTTCAGACGACATCAAGCGCTTGGAACTATGCATCTGCCAAAATCCTTTCCTACGCGACTAGTGTTTATAGTCTGAACAAGTAAGTAAGGGGTGAATTCGGTGAAATCAGGAGAAACAAGGAGATATCACACTAGTATTGACATTAGTTTTGAGGTAGAGTAGGCCAGAGCCGTTTGATCCACCATTGAGCCACTAAACCCTACAGTAGACTATTATTGAATAAAATACCTGTACTAGCTAACGAAGATCATATGCTATCAGCTGGTGGGGCACTTCTTAGGGTTGTCTAATAAAGGAAGGAACCAGGTTCCCATAAGTCCAGACTGACCGCGGTACTTGAAAGGCTAGGAATCTTTGGCTTTAAGACGTTTCGAATGGACTTGGTACCTCAAGTGGACTCACTGTACTAAATGGATTCAGTGTATCAAATGGGCCCAATGTACGGAATAGATTGAGTAACTAAAATGACTTCATTATCTCAGATGATTTCAATATATCAAACCGCCGAAACGTATCAATTTCAATTTCTCAAACGAATTGATAGAATTCTATAAATTCAACAAACTTATCCAACTCAATATATGTAGAGTAGTCCAACAATTAAGTGTCATGCATTGTCGATCGCAATCTAGACTGAAAAAACCTTAAACGGAACGGGAAGGACCAACCCCTTTAGCATCAACGCTAAGCGAGATTTGAGTTTTACCCCCACAATTTGTGACAGTTTCAACATCGGAGGTTATTACTCTATCAATGAGATAATATTGATACTCGTAGATGATCAGATAAAGTTAGATGGAAAACTCATTATTACGATAAACATTATTCCCTCCCGCGTCGGAGCACTTTATCTCGAGCAAAATTGACACGAAAATACAGCATTAGCAGCGAGTCTCGGACATGTTTTCGAATGTTACGATCGCAATACCGGTAGCCTGAGCGAACAACTAAGTTTCTCTTAGACCTAAAATAACCCAGAATCACCAGTGTATTTCGTCATCTCAGGCTAGTAACCATCAAATCTTCACGTGAAAACAATACGTGGTAAAATTATGGCATTCGAGTACTAGATCAATAGCATACTCCACCTACCGGATTCCACACTTTGTATGATGATATCAATGAAGAATACAGTTTTTCAAGGTATCATTTAACTAATCAATTGAGCTAACCCACATGCAATCAACGTGTCAATACAGTGCAAATTCGAGACCCTGATAACTAGTTCCAACAGATCTATGCTACAACCTTGGTTCGAACGCGCACGCTAGGATTTATTCAAGGCATCTGGCATCTTCACCAAGAGTGAGCAATCGTAACACTCTAGCGCTGTTAATACTGAGCTCTTTGATCCAATCATGCACAAATTAGATCTTTATTAATATCGGATTCTAGTTCTTTTAGCACCTCATTACTAAAGGGAAGGGTAATACCAATTACTATAGTCTTCATCATCGTTCCTAACCTGCAGCCCTGCCGCTAAACTTGCGGGAAACTTAAAATTTCGTACTACGAAATCAAGCTTTCTGTATATCAAGGCCGAAGGAAGGGGCGATCCCTTCCCATACTAAGTAGACCAACATCAAGCTACTGCCAGTGCACTACCGCACGCACATCATGTCCAAAGCTTCACCTATCAAACTTCTGCATTTTCCGCATCCAGGGGACAGACTAGATGCATGCGGGACCACAGCCAGTGTTTTTCGTCCGAATTTGGAGGCTAATGATCAAGAAAGAGATTCAAGAATTCGATGTCGATCCAAACTCGGATGACTACAGTCGAGTCAAACATCTACACATATTTTAAAATATTATCAAGACTAAAAATTCTGCACTAAGTTACATTATGTCTTTAGCACAGTTTCTCTACACGCACAAGCCTGTATTGGCTCTCTGCTGTGCCGGAAAACTGGCTCACGGTACGACACCTCGTCGACAATGCCTGGCTTTCATGTCAATTGGAAGATCACAGATCCGGGATTTTCTGTTGTGGTCCAATGTAGGTGAGTGAATCATGGAAAGTACCCTTCATTGTTTACTCGACACATCAATTCCTCTTTTCCGTTTTGCGATTAGCAGATTATGTATCTCCGTTGACACGCATGCTTGCAGATACACTCCTCCGGTGCAAATCATCGGAACTACGATCGATGTATTGACCCTCCATATCGGCGACCATCCTTCATCGAGACGACTATCCGATTCATCAGGACTCATGTGCATGACCATTGATACAAGAAACACAGGGCAATACGCGCCTCAAAATATTCCTGCCAGTACTTTCAGAAATATCGTTTCGTCGTCACTTGTTGACGCTGGTCCTATTCTCACTATAGCTACTCGGTGCTTAAAACGACCACTCGTTCGCTCCCATAATGACGGGTCCGAATGATTACCCACAAAAGTCACAATTTAATGGTTTTGAGAAGGAATTGCCGAATGGGACAATAGAAAACATTTTCGTGCAAACTACAGCGACAAGACGTCACCAAAGAGCTTCGACCGTTACGATAGAACGCCCATCCCATAGCAAGCATCTACAATGAACCATCCACAACGAATCATCCACAACTATACATCGACACCCAAACGACATCCGCGACGCGGATGAAAAAAAAGAAACCACAAGAAGCACACACAGTCACCACAAAACAGACGTCCCCTACTCCCGCGAACTTCGCGATCTCAACATCCCTACACAACGATCAGAATTATCCGCACACAGGTTTTCCATTACGATACCATTGAAACATATACAAACGGACCATTAGTTCTCGGTTCTGCAGTCATGCTGTCGACAGCGCACAAGATGTACCCTTACATTCGGTACTTAATCTTTAGTTTTAGTTTTTAGTTTTTTTCAAAATCCTGCCCTGGTAATATGAGATGACTAAGCAATATTGGTGGCGAAATCTTGTGAGCGCCACTTACACTCCTTGTACCTCTGGTACGTTTATTCCTCAAATGAGAAGGGCTACTTGATCTCCCTTGGTTGGATTTATATTCTGCATATTTTTGCTCATAAAGTGTGGTTGGAAAAAACATGCAATGCTTTCATTTAGCTTAGATCTTTTCGAAACTGGCTGTCAGTTTTCCTCCTCTATATCTCGGATCCGTGAGATCGATAGGGTACGTCTAACCATTCAACTCTAATCCGATTCTTTCAGAATCACACACTAACTTGACTCACCCATCATCTCACCACTTACCTATTCCAAAACTTCACCTCACGCCACCTATTCACCTTCGATCATGCACACCATCTTCCCACATCTTATATAAAAGAGCTCGACCTTTTGAACAAATGACCTGACCGGTAAAAACTCTCAAACAAGGAGAGCAAAAGAACAAGGGAATTCTGGGCTTGGGGTCTGGAATCGGGATACGCAACTTTTTGACGGTATATATCATGGGGGTTATTCACCATTTGTCGCTTGAACACCGGGATTACCGTTTAGAACGTTAACATAACATATGTAAGTATTATCCTTTCCCCTGAATTTGTTGTCATTCAATAAACTTAACATAACATGGCAGATTTTTCTCTCAGCTTAGCGCAACAACAACAACAACAACAGGGAAATACAAGAGAACGATTGAAATACAAGACAACGATTGAAAAGTAGAGATATGTTCAGAGTTCGGTAAGAAGGATGGATACACGTCAATCGCCATGAATTTTCTCGGGTTTGAATAACCTTCATACCGAGCACGGCACGACACCTGAATAGATTAGCTGTCTGTCATGAAGCTTATATTTGATGTTTAGGAAGCTAAGCAACGAGGAATCTTATATCATCACAATACTTGTATTGGGATAAGTGGCGCAAATATGGTTCCTATCTAGTGGATAGAGCGGTGGTACTGACACTTGTTACCAGAAAGAAATGACGATATGAGAGAAAGATAGTCCTAGTGTGAGTATATTTATTCGCTACAGCTACTCAGGAGGGGAATGGAGAGTACTGAGACTTTAGCGCATGATGTTTATGATGGAATCTCAGGGTGAATATTGTGAGGCTTATTGGAGATTCGCTGCGGTCTGTAGAGTAGAAATGTGGGACTGGCACAGATACTGAAGTGTGCGGGTATATATATTCCGCCTCGTGTATCTTCGGAAAGGCATGAATAAGTGCTCCTTCATTTGGAAGATCCTATGCCTGGTTCTCGACAACATGAGCATCGTTGTAGGCTTGTAGCAAGATTCCCATTGAATGAACAAAAAAGTTGAAGAGAAAAGATTTTGAGGAGAGACTTTGTGGTGTGTTTGTTGTCTCTTGTATGACCTTATCACTATTGTCGTTCCACAAGCCTTGTTGCCGCCCTATTATTTTCATCCTATTAATATTTAATGGTTCTATATGATCTTTCCCACGTATACTTAGCGATCCTATAGATGACTTGTCGAGATTGGGGGTTGAAATAATTCTAGGGATCAACAACAGTTCTGGGCGGAGGATTTCAAGCTGCGTCAAAACATTGGAGAAAGCTATCTCGCAGTGATGGCAGTTAAAAATAAACACAAGATTGAGAATTAGATGGTGAATATCATATGCGTATGCAAACGCCGATTGACTAGTAGCAGCTTTACCCCTCGAATAATACCTAACTCCATCATATCCACTCTCGCCACAGAAGCAAGGAAGCAATAAATAAACAACAAACACTCGTGCTTATAACCTCCTCAACACCGCACACCCACTTTCATCGATACGTTCAAAAACATAACAAGATACCTTGACATGATTCCTCCAGTATTTTTGCACTTCGTCCTAACAGTAGCATAAGGTTACCTCCGCTACCATCACTGCCTTGATAAATTCTGATAGAGGATATAGTAGAGTATGCTAGATGTAGATAATATACGAAGAGCATCACCCTTATGATTTCTACTCCTAATCTCAACTCAAAACACCCAATCTTGTAACTTCTCAGCAGTAACAATTCTCAATAGTAACTTGTAAGAGTACTCAGCAGCAACAATACTTAACGATAACAATACCCAGCAACAACAAAGAGTAAACGCGCAAGCAAACCCTTTAGGGCTCATTTACAGATACTCTACTCAGTACTAATAATTCAAGAATACTAGTTTCAAGCCATAACACTAGTCACTAGACAACTCTCAAAACACGAACAAGTATCGAAAACTTCAAAAAACATCAAAGAGTAAACAATGTATCTTTCCAATACCGATACCCTAATATTTATAATTCTTGTTCTTTGTATTCTTCCCATCTAATTCTTTCTTCTTCCTATTCTATCTATCCTCTCTTCCATCATCTCCCACTCCCATTCCCACATCCCATTCTAATCCCTACCCACCCCTCTTCATCCATACATCCATACATCTCCCACATCCCACCATCTCTCATCATCCCACCATCTCCCATCCTCAATCCTCCTCCCATTCCTATTCCCATTCCCTCTCTCATTCTTATTCTCATTCTTATTCCCATTTCCAATTCCCTCTCCCTCTCCCTATAAAAATCTCTCCATCTCAAGATTATTTCATACATAAACACATCAGAAAAAGAAGCCCTCTGCAAATCCCGTCCATCCCATCCATCTAATCCATCAATCTCTCGTCATACAACTTTTCCCCTCAAAAAGAATGGAAATTAAAAAACCCCAACCCAAATAACCAAGTAACCAAGTAACCAAAAACGCCATTCCATTCCATGATTTTCGTCTCAATCATCTTATCTCATCTCATCCGAGTTATCCAAACACCGCCCCCCCAAAAAAGAGAAAAAAAGCATCATCTAAGGTATCATCGCTTTAATGAAAAATATCAGTGAAAAACAACAAACAAGAAAGAAAAAAAACCGCTCAAAGCAAATCTACAATCTTCCCTTTTTGCCTCACTTCCTCAATTCCTCTCAAGATTAAAGAAATCCTCCCTCTCCACCAAAAACACCCATTCCTCCAAATCCTCTACCACATCTCTTAGCCATATCCCTATCCACACTTTGACCATCACCACCTCTCATACTTAATCCATTACTACTTCTCAATCCTCCCCTTCTTCCTTCAAAATCCCCTTCCTCTACAAGTTCTGGAGGACTCTCAAGTTCGTGATCACTCACACTACCCCTTCTAGAATCATCTCTTTCTCTAAAACTATCGCCCCTTCCTGAATTCGAACTCGCATTTGTTTGGACCAAGAGAAGCGAACTGGTGGAACTTAATCTTCTAGCGAATTCTTGAAATGAAAGTCGTTTTGTAGATGTACTACTTCTCCTCTTTTCCTTTTCCGCTTTGCTAGGAACTAAACCCGAACTTCCATTATCTTTTAAAGATGGAACCGCAGTCGTAGAGATAGACCTCGGAGGTAAGGCGAGAGAGGATGGTCGACTATTTTTACGCATATGTGATGATGTAGTTCCGGTACGTGGACGAAGACCATTTCCAATGGAAGAAAAACTTTGACTAGTAGAGCTTGAACCACTATGAAGAGCACTCATAGCATCTCGATTTAAGAAAGGAACCAGTGGACTATTGGGTGACATGTGACTCGAGCTAGAGCTACTGGTTCGAGGTAAAGGGGTTTGTCGTCCAGCTATATAATCCAAAGCTCGTTGTGCAGGTGTAGGGATGTGTATATCGTTTCCGTCCAATTGTTCCAATACATCAGCACCAGGGTCTTCGTTATCTGATTCCTCGGATTCTTCTTCAAGTTCCCAACCAGGTTTGTATCTTCCATGACTGTCGGTAGCTGAAGTGGCTGATCTTTGTAATAATCTCTCATCATGTTCTCTCATTAATGCTTCGAATCGTGCGATGCTGCTAATCTTATCCTCTTCTCTATCCTGTAATCTCTCACTTCCAGGTATACATCTCATCTGAAATGCTCGATCTAAAATGGTCTCTCTTGGTCCAGGGGATGTTGTAATAGGTGACGTCAGTGGAGCAATAGCAGAAGCAATACTATTACTTCCCCTCGTGTGATGAGACAAGGCTGAAGATCTTCCCTGAGCAGATGTCCAACCCTCGATGAAATTATCATACCCCGACACGGAGATAGGAGAAGGTAAATCCGTGGGTAAAGTTGTATTATTGAAATTTTGTGGATGAGCTGATGTGAAACCCATAGGTGGATGGGATGAACTTGCTTGGGATGAAAGGTCTGAGCGGCGGGAACGAAGGCTGGGAGAAGGTGAGATTAATGCGGAAGGACGATCTCGTGGGGTTTGAGAGTATTGTCCCACGGATTGAAAAGGTGGGCGGGTCGGTTGATCTTGTCTCCCATTCCTTGATGAAGGTCTTGGATCTCTTGGTGAAAAAGGATTGGTAAAAGAGGTGAATATCGGGCTCAGGGGACTCATTGGAGTTTCTTCGTTCTCATCAACTTGTAATCGTGGTTTGATGGTGATCTGCCAATCGTATATATTATTTCGATCTTCGGGAACTGATCGAAATAGAAGTGTATCTGCCCACTGTGCATCTTTGTTTGAAGTTAATCCTCCTGTTCGACTTGATCTTCTCTTTCGTTGTTTTTCTGATATTGAATCGGGTTTCATTTCCAACATGAGTGTAGGAAGTGGTGTAGCTTGTTTTCGATGTGATAACGATCGAATGTCGCATGATTTGAAAGCAGATATTGGATGTTGAGCAATATGTTCCCAATCTCCCTGTTGATGTCACATTAGAATCTAGTACCCCTCAATTTCCAACCCACTCCAAAATCATACCTTTGCCTTGTAGATTGATATGAACAATCCTTCATCTGATACTTTTCCAAAATCCGCCAAACTTTGTTTCGAGGATGCTGTTTTGATTGATTTTCCTTTCTTGGAATTTGATTTTTCGAGGATATCGGTTTGTGTTTGTAGATGTGCTCCGCTACCAAGGACAACATATCGAGACTATTGAATTGACGAAAACTTGTCAGACAAACATCCAAAATTCGAATGGTAGATGAATATTCTAGAAGAACAATTTACCTTCCATAATGCCCTTCCAATAATTGTACCCCTTTCAGGTGGTACTAACATTAATCCTTCCATTAAGATCATATTTGATGGGATGGGTAGGGGTAGTTGCAACAGAGTAGTTGAATGTAACTGGAGCCTTCCTTCGGGGAAAATTAATGATCGAATGCGACAAAAGGTAAAAGATCGGAAATTATTATTGAGTCGTATTAAATCATATTATGGTAGAATAGTATTGAAGAATATTGAAATTGAGGTCGTATTATTCTTTTGGTAAAGAAGGAAGTGAATTTCAAAGTGAAAGGTTGTGTGGTTGTGTAGTTGTGGTTGTGTAGGAGCCGTTGTGTAGTACCCGTAGGACGGACCCGTCTCGATTATGCTGGGTTTCGTAGTATTGATCCTTGGTGTAAAGTTCTAAATGCCTTGTCGAAGTTTTGGATTGTGATGGGAAGAATGCCTTCTCCTGTATCGAATTGGAATGGAATATATCGAAAGTGTAGAGGATTTGAGTAGGTATGTAATCTATCCTTCTCTCTCTCCCTTTGCTTCTAATAATTCAACTTCAACCTACCAAAAGAAGTGTTATGGACATAGATGTAGAGAGATGGAGATGGCAAGTTCAAAATGAAGTGGATCGTGAGATGAATGGATATCTAATTGCAGTCGTGCATCATGCTCATACCTTATACCGGTACGGTTGTTCATGCAGTTGCAGTAATGGAAATATATCCAAAGAAGAAAGGAAGCCTTCTGGTGAGCCCTGTTCCTATTATAGCCTAGTTTATCGTAAATAATGATCTTATTACCAAAATTACCAAAATTCAAGTTAATCACAACTATCAAACCCTTGACATTTATTTCAAAGCCCTTCTTAATCTTCTCCACTTTTTATCTTTTTACTCCACTTTAGAGTCCAAGCAGATCAGAAGTGTAGGTACCTGAGAGTCTGAGACAAGGGGGGAGAAGAAGGAACATTCTAAACCAATTTCAATTTAGTTATCAGGACTCAAAGCCAAATGAAGTTAGGATTTATTTATAATTGATCGACGGCATCTTCCATTTTCTATTTATTAACTGTGTACACCGTTTTGTCTCCGCAATACCATGTTGATGATTGAGAAACCCGGAAAGGAAAAGGAAGGAAAATGGGGAATATAAAAAACATCTGCAGGGGCGAAACATTAAACAACATTATATGTAGCTAGCCAGCGGGATGGGATGGGATGGGATGGGATGGGATGGGAATGTTTTGGCGGGAAAGTTATAATCGGGTCGATCGGAAACTAAGCTTTCTTGGATTATTCTACCGATATCGTTACTGAAAGGGGTTATTTATTTACAAGTACTTCATTTCGTAAACTGTGGGATATGATATCTTCAATTCTATCTCTTGATACAGATACCGGTACAGAGAAATGGCAATCTTTATGCAGAAAATCCCAGTTATGTCAGCAAGATCCATATTCCCTACCTTATCCCGTCCCCACATCCCAGTGAGGAATACTATACACTACTCTCATTGATTTTTGATCATATTTTATAATATAATAAAGCTACTAGGTATATAATTATATCTTGCGATATTCATTACCTTAAATAATATCATATGTTCGACAACGTGTATAGCGGGATGAAGGGGGAATATCATCCCATCAAATTACAGTATTATCTCCACTTCGAATTTAGAGGCACAACATATCATATTTCGCTTTTTACTTACCGGTACATTGTACAGTGTACAATCAATCTTCTCTTCTCTTCTCTCTCTTCTCTTCCACTGCCAGTCAGTCAGTCTCCACTGCCGTTTCCATCCTCCATCCTTCATTCTCCAAGGAGAGGAGAGACATTTCATCGTTGATTCATCTATTGATTCATCCATCCCATTGATCAACCCTAACCCTGATCAATATACCGACCGATCATATTATATTATCTGAAACCTAGTAAACCAAGACATTCCATTCCCTAAAAAAAAATCCTAAAATCCCCAATACCACAAGACCACAGACCACAGACCCAAGTACCGAACTTTTTAAGTTCTAAACATCAAAATCAACCGGTATTCCTCCATCGCTACTCGTATAATCAATCAATCAATCAATCAATCAATCATTCAAATCAAATCAAATCAAATCAAATCCCTATCTCATTTCGAAAAAAAGAAAAAAACTTTGGAAAATTATATTGAAAAGATGTCTTTGCGTTGAGAACATCCTCATCTTGCAATTCATTCTTACCTACTACATCCCATCCCCGTCCCATCCTATCCCTTCCTATCCCATCCCATCCCATCTTCAAACTCAAACTACCAACGCAAAAATCCAAAACCCCCAGCATCTTTTTCCTATCCACCTAGGTACATTGCACAAATCCATTCATTCAATCCATCCATCCCCAATCCCCGTCCCATCCAATCCATCCAATCCATTCAATCCAATCCATTCAATCCAATCCATCCATCCCATCCATCCGATACCCGGAACCTTCCGTCCCCTCCCAAATTTCTCTCCAGGGGTCCATTCATCATTCATCTAATACTTTTTATACTTTCATCTGATCCCTTCCCTCCATCAATCCATCAATCCATCAATCCATCAAATCCATCAAATTCATCAAATCCATCAAATTCATCAAATTCATCACCAACAATAATAATAACGGGGCTCTCCTCTCTCTCAAATTGACGCGCGCGCGCGTGCACCGGAATCATTTATCCATCCATCCTATTTATCAAATCCATTTAAAATAGATTACCGGTAAGGTAACCCATACCGGTATATACCGTCGATAGAAATGCTACAGTTTATTTATTTATTTATTGTGGATATTTATGTATGTATGGTCTGGTAATTAGTATTTACTACCTAACCTATGGGTTAATATATTATGGATAAAATACTACTATATATTGTATAAACGTAAACGTTGGTACATACAGTGTGGGACCATTGGGAACGTTGCGTTGTGTTGCATCGTGATCCTGAATATTAATGCAGGAGGACGGCTGGACTGCAGGACAAGAAGGAGTTGCAGGAGAAGTTGCAGCACCGGTATCGATACGAATGTAAGACTTATGTTTCAACTTTCTTTCAAGGACCCTTCACCCACCTCCTCCTTATTTTTGAAAGGTCCAATGAATGTTTTGGAAGTTCGAGAAGGGAGAATGATGAAGTGTGTTCACCGCTGGATTCTTGTTATGCAGGTACGGTATGGTACGGTATGTATAGTACTATCTGTATCTGTATATGTATCTGTATCTATGAGTATATATGATTATAGAACTTGTGAAGTTAAATCTAACTATATCAAAGCAAATCTTATATGTACTCCAGTAATAATACCGGTACCGGTACTACTCTTTCGGAATTTTCTATATATATGTACTCGAGTATGTATCAAGTTATCAATCAACCAACCCCCTCGAATACATTCATTTCCCACTCAATGTTCAATTCAATCCACAAATATCCGCGCATACACCAAAATAGAGACAGACCTTCTCTTCGAGCTCAACGCCATCCTTCTACTCAAGTACTCGATCGAATGTATCTTGGAACCTTAAACCTCAAGAAAACAGGACTCTTACATTCTAATTCAAACTCATTTTATTCTCCCTCCATCCTCCTCTCTCCACCAACACCAACACCATCTATGTACAATACCCATCAATACCCGCTCAAAGACCCCAAAAACACTTTTCTTTCCTTTGCGAATCTGTATTGAATCCCTTCATCTCAATTCATTTCAATTCCCTTCTCCTCCTCTCCTCTCCTCCCCACTCCTCAACTCCTCAACTCCTCTACCCGTCTCCCCCTTTCAAAATCTTCTCCCTAGAACCCTGTCCCTATCAAATACAGTACGTACATTCCCGATTTCCGCCTACATACCCGCCCACAAACACACCCACAAAAGCCATCCATTCCTTAGTAAGGAGTCAGTCCTCACTCTTAACTCCGTACGAATTACAAAATCACAAATTTCCAAAATTGTAGAATTATGAACTTGGGCTTTCATCTTCATCTCTTACCTTCTTACCTTTCGATCTTTTTCCACCCAGCCCATCCATTCAATTGTAATCCCGATATAATACGAGGTCCTCGGTTTCAACATAGATCTGAATCCGAGTAACCTGTAAAGTATCGACTTCTGCTTCCGCTTCTGTGATATCATCGAAAACATCATCCGCCTTGTATCGCTGAGTCGTATCAAATGTGACATCCCTTGAAACAATTACTCTCTTAAATTGTAAACCCCAAATTCTGAAAATGTCAGTAGGTTCGTATCCGACGGACGAGATAACCAATATGGGCGCGTGGTTCCAATTTGTCAGTTTTAGGCATATTCTTCTTATGAACATAGGCCCTAGGGTTCACCATATGGTATCAGATGATGAAGTATAGGAAGAGTATCATCCAAATCTTCCTTAAACCGTTGACACCTACCAAGTGGTGTTTCCCAGTCAAGTGATAGTTTCGGAGTCCTGTTGAGTAGATATGCCGCTGCGTTGTAATTCTCAGGAAAGAGGTTTGCAGGAAGATTAGATGATATCTTCAACCCTCTTGCTCGGCTCGATAAAACTCATCCTGTGCGTTCCGCTGTATCATTTAGTTCATGTGCGTGTGGTGGTGACCTCTCAACCTTGATTCCTATGTCTTAGATCCATTTCTCATACTCATTTCCCATTGCTGATTCACCACTAAACCTCAGAATGAATATGTCGAAACCAAACTGGAGTTTGATGCTATTCTGAGAACCTTTTAAGCTTCCCATAATCTCTGATTGAGTACCAGAAATGATTGAATCAACCTTGTGGAGATCGGTAGTTTCTTCGAAAATATGAAGGATCCTTCGATCAGCATTATATCTTTCACCAGGATAGATTATATCCCAATGACATCGATGGAAAGATATTGCTGACTTTTCAGGGATTCGTCGAGAAATAATTCGCTGTGCATTCTTCAATCGACAAATTTCACAGTTGACATCGGTATACTTGTCAATCAACTCGATTCCTTCTGTGCTTTGCTTTATATGACGCAAAGCCTCTAAATACACATAGCCCATTCTATCATGAAGACTCTGCAGAGTGATTCTTAAAACAGGCTTTCCAGTCTTTGTGAATGTGGCAGCAATCAAGTGAGTGGTCATCGAACCCTCCGGGATGGGATTAAATTCCAGACACCATTGATTAAAGTGCTCCCCTCCGGAAGCTCGCAAAATTTATTTGATGTATTGTACGTCAATCACATTCCCTTCGTATCCTAATGAATATTCTTTACTAATAATATACTCAATTCCACTATAGTAAACTCATATGGAAAGTTGGACAGAATGCAACCTTTGTGACCTCAATTACTCTCTTTTCCATCACATTTGAGTTTAATTTTCGTCGTTTCACAGCCTTAGGTTACTATATCTGTATCGCCGGCCATGAGAAGTTCAGAACCATCGGATGCCTCATAGTTGGTGAGTCGAAGTCGATTATTGCACACGTTCGCAGATGATCCTGAATCTAGGATGATGCTATTCTTTAAAGCAAAATCACTCGTCGCCATCATTGTAGTCAGTATCGGAAAAGAACTAGCTTTCTTCTTAACGATGTTTCACATGAAAGAATGTGGTGAGACTGATGATGGTGTTAGTGCTGTTGATCGCTTTTCTGTTTCAGGAGTTGCAGGCTCTTTGCCGTACCTTTCCAACCATGCTTTGAACGTCTTAGAAAGGTTCTTACTCTTTCTAATTGCTCTTTCAACCATCAAGAAGTTTTCCGCATCTGGCTTGAAGTTTTCTGTTCTCTTATCCTCATTAATAACAGGACAGTTCTTGAATTTGTGCAACCGTTCGCACAAGCACTTCTTCTCTGTGTTTCCATTGCCTTTGCCATCAATTTTTTTCTCGGCATTCTTGTTCGTCTCGCCATCTCCATCTTTGCCTTGAAGTGTAGCATCGAACACTGAATTCTGAACTTTTTGGAGTTGCTCGCGTCCTAGAGTGTTGCGATGAAACAATCGATATTCGTTGACAACCGTATGAAAGTCGTATTTCCTGTCTGGTGTTCTTGAAGCTTCGTACTCTCATACATCTGCCAGTGACGATCCTGGGCACTTTGCATAGACTGCCTGCACAAATTTTCGTGCAGCACGATTGTGGTCCATATCAGGGCTCTTTAAAGAAACCCCTTCAGAAAAGAGAACCTCCCACCTCCTCAACCATGCATCGATATCCGTCACTCCCCCATCCTTTTGTACGTGTTCCCATGCTGTCAATAACTCTAGTTCTCGAGCTGTATCCGATGGTGCAAATCACTTCTTGAGAGCAAGAAGACAATCGTATGTTGAGTCTTCTTTCAAGGTGTAGGAAAGATCATCCCTGTGTACGAATTCCTGAATTCGGATTCTTAAATCGGCTATTTCCTAGCGGGATTTCTCGTGATTCTTTCGTCCATACTCAAAATTTACTTGTCAGCATTGGAGTTCACCTTTCTCGTTAACATCGAGTAATGCGTATGTGACTACCGGTGCTTATTCTGTAGGTGGGTTCTATAGGCTCAGCCAGAGCTGGCACAGTGATATTGATTTCCTCTTCTCTCCTATCTTACCTTATAGAATAAAATAGGCTCGTTGGCGTCTAGGGCTAGGAATAGGAAGAAGTAATCAAAAAGAATCTAGAAAAAGAGTGAAAAGGAATAATTGAGAATGAAATTAGGAATAGATAGGAATATTTTAAATTAGGATTACTAGGAGTAGAAAGGGATAATCCAAAATACACTAAAACACCAAAAACAGGTAGATATATTGTTTATTCATCCTAATGATATTAGTTGTGTTGATATAATAAACATATCGAATAATTGAAAGATAAATAATAGGGAATCTACGAGTATATAAAGCTGAGCTAAGATTTTAGTCATACAGTATGACTATTATCTATCCAATCATATACCACCTCCAAAAAAAATTACCCCCCCCCCAAACAAAAATCCCCTTCCCCTCCTCTCCTATCCTAGCTCTAAGGATAGGAAGAAGCGCGATATTTCAGAGGTTAGAAGCGGAATAGGAAACCTTCATTTTTCAGAGGCTAGGAGCGGGATAGGAGAGGAGAGGAAAAGGAAGGGAGCACTGAGGAGAGGAAATGTTTTTCACTGCTTCTTACTTAAAGTTATATTGGGATAACTTGGTATCTAAAAGAGAGATACTTAAACTTCATCTACGACTTGCAAATATAGCTTGTAGGCAAATGGTCAAATCGGCATATCGGAGAGGATATGGACCGGCTATACTCCCACTTACACTATACTATATATAAAAGATGGTTGAGTAAGATCAATTTATCGATAATGGTGAAAAGCCAATACGCTCCTTCAATCACAGATCTCTGCCCCAGTATGCTGGATGTAGAGGCAGCTTCTGACGATGGCACATATGACAATACAAGAATTGTGTATGAGATTCCTCTCCTCCTAGGCACTGGAAATTCACAAATGCCGATCAAATTTGTCACCATCAATATTAATGGCCAAAGTTTTTGTGATCTCAAAGATATAAAGTTGGCCTAATTAGCATAAAAGACTTACGGCCGCAGGAAGATTTGCATTCAGATCAAGGTTATCGAAAGAGTAATAGCATAAGCATAGTATTGAGTGGAGGCAGAGCATCGCTCACAAGAGCCTCAAAATACAAGTGACTAAGAAAGTTTGCATTTCATCAAATGAAGTTAGTGTAACAATCAAAGCCAGTTTCAATACCGGAAGACTTCAAGTATGGCTAGTACAAACTAGTCAAACCATAAAGCAAAAATACAATAACAGAATTCAGGATAACTTCCTGGAGATACTAAAATTGCATCTCGATCATTCTTGATATAACATATTCAGCAAACAAGGTATTCCAAAGCTATAGAGAACAGTTCAAATAATCACAAGCACAAAATGTAGTGCGCACTAAACCAAATAACGAGCAATAAATCGGAACGCTTGCTCTGATATGGTAATAATTTCGGAAGACTGAAGATAATTACTGGTTACACTTGATCACTGCAACTGAAAAGACTTTGTCCAGCTTCTTGCGGGATATTTCAGAGATATGGCCCTTTGGGGGTACTCGTGGAGTCCATTGGGAATATGTGATATAGAGACCTGGACCATGACCATGACCATGACCAGGACCGCAACAGGTACCCGCGAGGCGGGTCATTGAGCTGATAAGTAACCCATAGATTGATTACCTGTCAGCAAAGCAGGTTATTAGAAAGTCTGAATAAATACTCACAGGTTATTTTCATTATATAGATAATCTATTAATCTATAAATAACCTATCAACCCAAAAATAACCTACGCGACAGGTTATTTTGAAATCCCGATGGGTATCCACAGGTTGTGTAGTAGCTCTTGTGGGTAATCCACGAGGCGGGTAACCCACAGGTATCGTGGGTTGTGTTTATTTCTGCGCAGCCGGCGGCGGTGGTGGCGGCGGCGTCACCTGGTTGAATGGTTGTGAGACGTAATCAGATCTTAAGAGGAGAAGAAGTGGCAACACTGGAGTTCGAAAATCACAGATGTTCTCTTTCGGCGCTCATATACTGAAGCCACACACTCCTAGTCTAAGATTCGTCGCTTTTAATGACAAGCGTAGCGATTCTTACAGCAAACTAGTACTATAGTGGCCTGTGCAAGGGCGATTAGGGGGGCAGCAGGGGAGCAATCAGGGTAAGTATATACTAACATTATAGACGGATTTTAACGATATCGGTAACTCTCGGAAAGTCCAATTGTGTAGCGGTAGAAATAATATTATCGGTAATTCAAGTTGGACCAGCCTCAAGATTTCTAATCTAACCAATTAGGTTAGATCAGATCCTTGCATGGATGCTCATAGTGTTATACAGGTGCTAAATGCAAAATGAGGTATCAACCAGAACGCTTTCGCTATGAAAATTCAAGCTCTTGTTGGTAACCTATGCACTGAAAGAGGAAATGTAGTACTATGAAACGTTAGAAATGTCAATGCTCGTGGGTATCATACGTCATACCGTCAGAACAGATTCGTCCCCGACATCATCGTAGTTGTCGAGGTATACATATAAGATCAAGGCTTGATCGTTGACGAAGCCTAAGATTATCAGTGTGAATCATTAGGCTGTGGATCCTCGGTACTCACAAGCAATTACTCGTCCGCCAAGTCTTCCAACACTGAGCACCTTTCCCCAATCCCTTCCGTCTATTCTAACAGTCGCCCAAGCATCCGGGCCAGCAGCTTTTTGTTTTGTAGCTGGATGATTCTCAACACCATCATCACCATCTTCTATTTGTCTTGGGTCCAAGTCCGGATTGTTAAGCCCTGTCCATACACTTGAGATGTTCAATGCATTCGTGGCAATGCTCAATCTCAAACTCCCATGCATATTCGCACTCAACTCTAACTTTGGTATATTTCCTCCACTTACTCCTCTCGTTCCACCGGATGCCGTAGCCATGGCCAGATTCGTGAACCGTTCCGAGATAGCTTTTAATTGTATGAGAGAAGGGAGCATGATATGTACATCCGGTTCCCTCACCCTCGGCTCATGTATTCCCTCCACACTATCCGCCGCCAATATGCGTATATGTATATCCTGTGTAACGATGGCTTCTCCATCTCTTCTCATGTTTGCATCAAGGCTTTTTTCGCGAAACCCTTCCCGAAATGGATCGGCTGCTCCACTTTCACCACCAAGGATATTTGCGCTCTTCCCATGCATCACGGCATTTGTAGTGACCGTGAGAGAAAGAACCGGTATGCCATCTCGCTTTGTAAGTCGTATCCCCGCCGTTGACGCGTTTATTGCGGATTTTAGAGCGCGATGGAGAGGTGGGAGGGGTAGTTCAATGTTAATGGTATTATCCGCAGCGGCAGATTGAATGGTGTAGTCTTCGAAGATAGAGTCAATCGAGAGGGACCTTTGCGGCATCAGAATTGTAGCTCATATTGTAGAAGATGCATTACTCACGCCCATACTTGAGTTCCTGTTTCAGGAATAATTGTGAATCGAACTCCATTGTCATCCAGGCGCACCCAAGCTACTTTTCCAAGTGATGACAGCGAAGCTGTGAGTTCTATAGTATTGTAAGCTGTGAGCCTTTCCTATGGAGAATTTTAGAAACAATCCTCACTGCTGAACGTTTGAATATTTCGAACGGACGTCTTAAACCGCATTTTGAATATCTGAAGCTGTTGACTTTTAACTTTCGGAAGCTTGGAGCTACGATGACGAGGATAAGATAAGAATGCTGCTTATTAATCAATTTCGACGACAACCCCTTCGTTTGCAAAAAATACTTTTGACTTTCAATTATTTCACAATGGTAAGAATTAAACCACAAATCTGTAAAAAAGCATTTATTTGTCTTGTAGGCCTACCTGCAATCAACTACCGCTGAAATTCAAATAACTATCAACTAGTGGATGACTGAGTAAAGGGTCTGAGATAAACTTCAGACCCTTCAAGACATTCGATAACCTTATCTAACTACCCGAATACCATCCTTCCCTGCGCCAACCATTACACCAGCATAGATCGATGACCAAGTAAAGAGTCGAGAAGAAACCCAACTGCAAAGACTCGCCAATCAACTATCCGAGAGTATTCTCTCTACCTATGAGCCCATCATAACCATATTAAAATCCTAATACCTATGTATCTTCAACCTTCGATATATGCATATCTCTCTCCCATCACATTCGTCCGTCCTCTGACCTGGCGTTTGCATAAAAAGCTCCGTTGTACGCTCCATTGTACGCAGAGCTAGCAAAACCAGGAGACGACATTCTGCTTCCGTCCGCAACATATTGTCGAGTTTCAAACCACCGACGACCAGGATTGGCTGGCGGTGTTGGTGGGCCTGAGACCGCACCTGCTTGCTGTCCAGAAATTGAGAATCCAGCGTAAGACAACTCGTCCGAGGAGGCGGTTCTTCCCATCGAACTAAGAACAGGATTCATATTGGAGAACGACACGCCAGGAGAGCTTCTCGCTGTCATACTGTGCATGTTGCCATATCTAGGAGAACCCTGTGCAGGTGAAAAGACTCCTGCACTCGGCGAGCTTCGTGGTTCAGCAATCATAAAACCCGACTGGGCAGTAGCCATACGGCGCAAGTCTGTTCCGGACCCAGAGCCACCGCGGGCATGGTATGCCTGAGCATACTGGATTGCGGGGCCGGTCGCGTGGCGCCGAGGGCGCATGATCGGAGAACCTTCATCAGTTGTCGTTCGCATCGGAGAACGACCCGGCGAAGGTCTAAATGACCTCGACAAATGTACATTAGCTACCAAGAATCCTGCATAGTCGTCAGGGTTGCCGACAAATGGCTGAGAGCCCGGTGTGGTCGGCGGTAAAACCACCTGCGGCCGAGGACCAGTTGCCATACGGCCTTGATCAGGCCCCATTGGAACAGCAATACCAACATCATAATCTGGCTGGAAGTATGGAGAACGAAGACCTACGTGACTCTCCACGTTGGCAACTGGGGAGTGATGAGTGGGCTCGTTGTGGCCACCAATCCTAGTATAGCCATATACCGGAACCTCATTGGGTATCGCAGGCGGATACACCGAGGGTAACCCAAATGGGCCTACGTTGGCTGGGGCTGCTTGTAAATAGTGTAATGGAGGCAGGTAGTCCATTACCCCTGCGCGATATTCCGGCGGTGGAATCAAAGGGTTAGCTTCTTCGTACCCGGGAAAGATCGGCGCCTGTTGACCGTGACTCATTGAAACGTGTGGATACCCACCCCCGTTGTACCCATCATAAACGCGATTGCCTCCTTCGTGGTTTCTGGTTGCGGTGTCGTGATGAGCATGATCATCCCAGCGTTGATCCGGTCTAGACTCATGTTCCCGATGCCGATAAGGTTCAAATTCATGTTCCCGGTGCTCATGATGTTGAAACTGATGTTCCCGATGTCGATAAGATTCAAATTCATGATCCCGATTCTGATGTCCACTATGACCACCATCAAAGTTGCGATGATGTCCACCGCTCTCATGGTGATGTCCACCGCGTGTCTCACCATCATGTCCATGACCACGGCCATCGCCACGTCCCTGACCACGTCCAAATTGCGCGTCACGACGTCCGCGACGATTTAGATGTTGAGCATAACCACCGCGCTCACCGTGATTATTACCTCTGTTATTTGGACGGTCAAAACGTTGATAAGCACTTGTTCCACGTCCTGGACCTTGTTGCTGATTCGGCACTAAGACGCCAAACCTAGTATCAGAAGACAACCCAGGATGTGCTTCTCCGAGTACGTCAGACTTGTTGGCTGTAGAGTACATCGAAGGTGTGGCGCTGACACTAGCATAATAGCTAGGGACTTGGCTGTATGTTTCTCCATTCGGGTAACGATGAAGCTGTACCTCCCCGGAGTACGGAACAGTTCTGAAACCCTTAAACACATCGGAATCATCACCCACTACATCATTGTGACGAATTCTAACCGATTGAATGTCTTTGATGGTTGTGTCGATGAGAAGGATTTGCTGGTTGAATGGCTTGGTTGGATCGAATTCATCTACCGGGTCCTGTGAATCTATTAGTAAGTGTAAGAGATAGACAATAGGTTGTACATACCCAAGGACCAAACTCCAAACAAGTACCATTATTATGTGTGATCAAAGATTGAGAATCCTTCGGACCAATCCTAGTGTATTGCTACCATGCTATTAGCGTCTCGCCTTATGCTTTCTTGCTTTGATGTTTCTTACTTGTGCTCTGCCCTCTGATGGAGTAGCAGGACGTCCTTGTACCAACAAACCCCATGAGTGATGCTGGCGCTCCTCAGTCATTGGCTTGACAGTAGTCATAGCTGCGAAAGTAGATATAACTGGAAAACCTGATCGTATTCTTGTTGTTTGATTTGTTGAAAGATCCCTCAAAGGCAAAGGAAAATGGAAGGTTTCGATTGTGCTAGTTAAAGCTTAGTACCCTTTTGACACACAATCTAATCGATCTAATTAGCAAAAGAATCAGAACAATGGAAATTGTGATTGAACTTACAGTTATCTTCGAAAAGCAGTGATTGCGCGATCTGAATCAAATTTGTCAATTAGTTGCAGATGAGCAATTGTTAATCGAATCAGTTGTGATAGTATGGGTTTTGGTCTGTGAAGGAGTCATGTATTGTCAGCCAAATGCTCGATACCAAAATTGTGCATGAGATGGACTCAAAGATAGAGATAAGAAACTTTGATGTTATGTAGTATCTCAAGCTTCTAGCAAAGAATGAAGGAGAAGGAGGTATTGACTTACAGCAAGTAAAGGAAGCACTGCCAATTGAGTTGTCGTCTTTCTTGTAAAGCAACGTTTGTTAGTCAAGTGTCTAGACCAGATTGGTCTGGATCGATCTACTTCTGGACTTGTCTGAGTAAAGGATCTCAATCATGTGAAAGATCTTGAGCTTGAAGGGAAACAGACAAAAGGGAGATGGACAAATACTTACGATAACTAGCAATGAGTGATTCGAAAGGCAAGATGATAGCTAATCAGCTAATGGCAGGGCAATTCCACTATCCTATTCTTGTGAAGAAGTGTTAGCCAATAAGTTAATTCAATCTTGGAGTTGTTTGGATAAGTCAATCCAAGACAGTGAGACTTTTGAACCTCAAAAATGGTCAGAAAGAGAGGAGTATTACTTACAACTTGAAGCAGATCGATAGTAGACCTGTAGTTGATAACTGCTTAGTTCTAACACCCCTTTATCATAGAACAGGAGATGTCAGAGAAAGCAGTTTCCAAGACTTTGAAGGTCGGAAAGGGGCGGAAACGTAAAGTCAAGTTATCAGAAAAGTTGTGTGTAAACAGATAAAAGAAATACTCCTTTCCTCAAGAAAGAATCAAGAGTAAAGAAGTGTAATAAGAAGAAATATAAACAGCTCTTGATAATAGTTTATATCAAAGAAATTTGTTGTGTTGTCAGATTGTGGAATTATTATTATTGTTGTGAGAAAGAAGTTGAAAGGTTGTCGGGAAATTATCGAAATTATGGTCGGGAAGTAGTAAAGCCGAAGAGATTTTTTCAGCTGTGTTTATTTGTCCGATTCTGTCAGTCGGGTGATTCATTAGCAAATGGAAATAAGATGATTGGATGTTAGCTTCGGCTGAGAAATTAGAGACGAGGCTGGTAATGAATTTACTGGTAGAGTACTTTGAAGATAGTTCGGCTGAAGCGAGGATGAAGATGGGAAGATAGAAAGGGACGTACAGTTGACAAATGACTACAATAAGAAACTTTGAAAGGAGGATCCATTTGGGGGTAATAGATCTATAATGGTCAGTATTATCTAATTGCTATTTTTCAAGCTTGTACTGAACTCCAAAGTAAGATTCTCGTAGGGTTGGCAAGATGAAATTCTACATAAACCCATCTTAGGGGGAGCAGCCTCGCTTACCATGGTTTGTGGTTAACAACCTCGAATGAATTCAAGCAACTCACAGCGTTCTAGACTCGCAGATGAAGGCTGAAGGCTTGTGATGATGCTGCAGTATTTGAGAATGATGTGCCGAGCTTCGCAGATGGTTAAGAGGTCGAGACGTGGCAGGATTGAGAAGTCGTAAGCTGATAGCTAGATTCTGGTCTCTGGGAATGAGTATGACAAGGAGCTGAACCCCTCATCGAGAATAGACGCGCCTATGCAGAGGTATGCGATAGCCTTACCATTGCATACAAACCATGAGGCCCTCGCATACCTCTACAAAGACTGAAAGTCTTATGAAAGAACCTCGACTTCAGACTTGAGGTTTTGGAGCGTATGAAAGGTGTAGGAGGGGTACTGAAGGGGTCCTTTTATAGCTTTACAATGGAGAAAAGAATCTGCAAACGGACCCATTATCGGGGCTGAGAATGTTGATTTGAGTACACGTGTGCTTGGCGTTGTACAACCTTCAATTATGTGAAGGGATTCACTGAAAAGCAAGAAGAGGGGGTGGGTGCCCTAGGGCTGACCGAGGCATTTGTGGTGAAGAGTGATACTTTGGACTGGGGTAAAATGGACGAGTGAACTCTATGTCCAAGTGAAGAAGGGTGATTCGTATGACTATAGGCGAACTAAAAATGGATGAGTAGGATCCACATTCAAGTAAACTAGGCTGGTTCTAGAAGTATGAACGAATGTGCGATAGAGGAATATGTTCGTAGACAAATAAGCAGCGCTGCTTCTCGCATGGAAAATCTTCCTGTCTCATGCTAGGTTCCGTTCTCTCTCCTAGATTTTCAATTCGTGAGGATCGATGGCGGGTAGATACAGCCTACGCCAAAGCTATAGGTTCTGTTGTTCAAGCTAAGTTTAAAGCGCCCTCTACTAGTCTAATGTCCACGAGATGAATACCTACCTATGAGTGAGTGTAGACTTACGGTATCTTGACAGTGAGTTTGAAATTGATCGCGTGTATTATTTGACTGAGCACGATCATTGTGTATAACTCGAAGTGCATCCGTATTTTCGCTCTGCATCGGTGAGCTGCCTGCTCTAAGTTCGTCTAGTTGATGTGGCGAAACTCGACGCGAATCACAATAGGTGTGCTTCCATTGTACAACTCTCTTCTTCATATAGAAGTAAGCTCTAGTTCAAGAACGATGCTTATCCTATTATGTCTTGTAACATGTTTTTGTATCTTGTACTTTGCCCCATCAAACTTTTACATCCATCATTTTATAACTTCAGAGAACTATTTGTTGAGAGCTGAATCCGACAATAACGAACTCGACCTTTTTCACATTGATGTTCAAATGAAGGAAGATTATTCTGGGAATGTAAGTAAGGATAAAATAGATGAGCAAGATCAACATTCAACTGAAAGGAGATGATTGTGTGCATGTAGGTGAGGAAAGTGCAGATGAATGGGGTCAAGTGGATGAGAGCGAATTTATGACTATATGGAAATATCAAAATAGGTGAACATGAATCAATGTCCAAGTGTAGTTGAAGGGCAGATTTTACAACTACTACAAGTTAGGATATAATAGATGAATGAGCAATTTCCTGGTAAAACAGAACGTTTTTTTGAGACAATAGACGACGACAACACTACAAACTCAACAGAAAGTTAGAAATAACAGGGCTTTGGATAAAATTGATTAGATGAGTAGTATCAACATTCAAGAAAGAAGAAGAACTTTTTATATGAGCGCAAAACAGACGAATATGATAGAGTTACAAGTGGAAAGGGATGATTAGTAGGTAGATATTCTGGGTGATATGGGAAAGATCTTTAAGCGAGATATGTGGGGGGCAATATATCGGAACACCAAACAATGCAATTTTGTTGATTTAATCATTTGAACCATTCATTTTTACAGATTCATAAGACAGATTCAATTGCCAAGATCGGGGCGAAATGCGTAAGCGGCTGCAAAAGAAATGAAGAGGAAACAGATTGCGGGAGCAATGATTTCCCTAAATACATTGGAGTATACTGGGTGGGCATATGCATGACCGTGAACATCAGTCAGCAGTTACGACTCGGATACCATTACCGATCGGTCATGCAATAGGCCTGCTCCACATTGCGCTTATTGCTTTTATTTCTTTTTCAATTTCTGTTTCTATAGTTTTTATCGCTTTCATCACCGGCACTTTGACAATACAGAGTACTACTAATATATCTCGGCTCATATTGGTGTATTCTTCCTGCCCAGTCACCTCTAGTCTTCACCCTCAATCTCTTCGCAAGTGTTCATCCACCGTTCTCTGAAGGGAAGGGGAAGGATAGTTGATGTGATGAAAGCTAGCTAGCGAGGTGCCTTTGATCAGAGAGTTAAGCTAAGAAGAATAGAAGGAATTGGAAACTAGAAACTAATTTGATTGAAAGGTAGTATAGTAGGGTAGAGAGAGAGAGTACGTGAGAGGATAAAATGAGGAAGGGCTTCAAATCGTCTTCCTCCTTGACCGATTCGGCCAAGCACCCACCACTTCTTCTTCCTCTGCTCGTTACTCATCGCCAAATCTTTAGTATATCCATGTTTTAGTATGTATTTCCTATAGTATGAGTAAAGTTACACCAAAAAGACCTTCAGATAGAACATGACATCGAAGCAAGCTATAGGAGATATAGAAGGTTAAAAATATGTAAATTCAGAAGATTTCTCGGAAGTGCTTGTTTAATTATCGAATAGTCGTACTAAAGACTAAGTTTAGATGTGGCTTCATGTATTCAATAAATATGTGAAGCTGTGCGAGGTCATTCAACAATATATAAGTCCGCTGAAGTCTTCAATAATGCATTAGGTTTCTCATTTTTTCTATTCATGAGGGGAAGCAACTGCTAAAGATTGTCACGCATTATTAAGATTATCAAGTAAAAGGAACAGATTAACAGAGTAAATTAGATGGATACAGAAATATAAGAATATATTAAAAAGAACCCAGTTTATTCACAGTAAATTAATTATGTAAAACCAAACCAACCAACCAACCAGTACACCTTCACGATGCGAATAACCCACTCACCACCCCACCTACCATTAATCTCTCACCTCTAAGTCCCAGCCGGACTTGCCCCTTTCCACTCCCCCACCATCACCAAAGACGTCCCATCTATCAATGCATCAATCATCCTTTCTTCATAGGATAACACAATCTTTGTCCTCAACGCCTTGCATGCTTTTTTGAGCATTTCAAGACGGTTATTGGAGATGCGTTGATGGGTGCGGAGATTAAGGTCGTAGCGGTAGGGCTGATGGTCGCCTTTTGCGTCTGGGTAGGAGGAAGTGGGTTGTGGTATTTTTGAATGGGTGCTAGTCATGGTGAGTTTGTGTGATGGGTGGGGGTTGCTTGGCTTGTTAGTTTGGCTTGTGGGCTCGAGGCGGGGGGGGTTGTGAGTGGATGAGGTTAGATAGATTGTGAGTGGTAGGGTAGGGAGGGGGCTTATATGAGATTGAAGATGGGGGAGGAGCATTGTTGTGTGCGTTTTCAGGTTTGGTGAACAATGCTTTAATGTTGTTCTCGAGCCAAGGGCTATCATTACTCTGCCGTAGCCGAGAGACATTTCATTTCCTGATGGTAAAAAGTAAGTGTACGGTACTGCAAGTGCTGTATTATATGTATATCCATAAATGTTATTGCTGCGACGTAAGTGAATGGGGTCACGTGATCATGGGTTGGCATCTCGCGTCTACATTGATCTTCCCGCCTTTAAGTTGGAATAGCCTCATATGACCAGAACTATCACCACTTTATGATATATTATAGAACCATAAATTTGACGTCGTATCACCTCAGTGATACTAACAGTTATTGTTCACCCAACTTGAAAAGAGAGACGAGGAAATTAGCAAAGCTTTTAGGTGTGCTTGTAAGCGAGATGGATTAGTAAGTCAGGGGTAATTTTGTTCGAGAAGATATTTAAATTTTTCAAAAGCGTGAAAATTCTAAAGTACACCATCTTCTGAAGGAAACGAGTAGTTATTTCGATGAGCACCCCTAAGTATCATCCCGAGAATTAAAACCTCCAGTCAGAATAGGCCGTTCATGTTGGGTTTATTGATGAGTCAGCATAGAACCGTAGATGGGCCATATGAACAGATCCTTCATGAGGCCACCTACACCTTAATGATATTATCTACTGCCTCCTAAACTACCATTATTCTACTATTGATAAGATATCCACTGTGACTATACCACTATAATCTCAACAGTTCAGATGATAAATATATAATGACTTGGCATTGCATAGTCCCCTCCGCAATATTGAGTTTCAAAGACTTGAGCAAGAAAATATAGTTTAAGCGAAGTATAGCTAGCTCACTGTAAAGACTACGACCTCGATAAAATCGATTCAATTATGTGCTGTAGAGGATTCCATGTGGCGTGAAGCAGAAATCCGCTCGAAGATGTACTCTTGTACTAATCATTGCCAAGCTTTCACTACTTAGTAATTATACGTAAACTTACGAGTCATTAATATTGATACACAACCTTCTATAGTAACTACTAACCACATCGCCATAGAAACTTGCAGTCAAACTCTTCAATAGGAATTTTCCTCGCACACGGGAAATCTCGCTAATAACTTATGATACATGTATCGCAAACAACCTTTCGGTCTATTCACTAGAATATTGTAGATCGGTACTAATTTTCGTGTAGATTTTCGACGCTACAGCCGCGCAATGTGCAGCTAGCTGGTGAATCCAGCAAGTACCTGTACACGATGTTGCGAATCTAACGAGCTATTAGCGGCTGTGATTTTGATATTGACAGGGGGAGGTACTCGAGTAAAGTATAGATAGTTGGGATGAAAATCCGTGTAATGAATGTATAGTCAATTAATTCACGCAATCTGGACAAAGTATAAAAATATGCATAAAGTAGATTGAAGCTTGGTTGAAGACAATTGAAGTGGAAAGGGTATATATCTTGGCATAAATACATAACATATTAGTATATCTTTTACTCGTATATACAACTTGAACAAATAAATTAAACACTACCCAACGCACTTATTTCGAATATAGCGTTTATGTAGCCAATTCTATAAGAACTTCTAGTACCTAGTATACTAAAACCCTAGAAAAAAAAAAGTCCTGCTAAGTAACTATACAATCAAAGATACACGAGTATCGATATTAAACAAACTCAAACACTTGCTTACATTTCGAAAGAGACTTTAACCAGTATTCAATTGGTTTATCTTATGCGAACGAGTAGATTCGGCGTTATATAGTATATTGTACTCGAGTATATATTCCACTATACTCATATACTTATATAGTAAGTAAACACTGCGAACTACTACTTAGTAGTCAATAGTAAATATGACATAAGGCTACTCGAGATATAAATAGAGATAAAGAAAAACCATATTTAGTATTATAATCAGTATTCAAGTTACTCGAGTATAATCAGTCCCTGTATCACAATAAACATAATGTACGATAACTACTCGAGTATATTGTCCTACCACACTAGCATTTCGAATCATAATCACCTACTCAACATGACATGATCCAGCCTCGTGAGTCGTGACACCCACTCACCCACCCTCTCTCTATTCTTGTGCTATTCTCGTGCTATATATTCTTCCATCATAATCATTATAATCCTATTCTCTTCCTCTATCCCTCTCGAGCTCACCCCATTCTATACAGTACAACCATACTCGAGTACAGTCATATAGTTACACAAACGAAATCGTTTCGAGAGAACTGTTTCAGCCACAAAATGTTTCATATCTCTCTCACCCCCCCCTCCTACTCTAACCAACCCATTACTCGTATATCATTATCATTATCATTATAGTATCAGCCCTACACACTCATTCACCTACCCACCCATCCATTCATTCACCCCACCCATCCATTACCTCCATACATTACCTCCATACCTTACGATCCGATATGTAGCTGTATGATTCGATCACCCACCCCATCATCCACCCTACCCATCCTGGATACTCGATCATCCATCCACTCACTCGACCAGTCAGTCATCTGCAAACAACCAGTCATACAAACAACCAATATCCAACCAACAATCATCACAAAGAAAAAAGTAAAAAGAAAAAGAAAAATAGTCTTCATATACTCGTATGTTACTCAAGAAATTCAGCAGACAGGCTACATCTTATTTTATTTTGAAAGGATGCTCACTTGCTCACTCACTCACTCCCAAGCTGCGCCATCAGTATGACTGTATTTGACCGAGTCTTTTGACTATTTTAATATATTTGTGGATGAATGATCTATTTATAACTCGAGTATACTCATAGAGTAGACTGTTTCTATATGTATTATATGTATATGTATATGTATATGTATACGTGGTTTTTATTATAATATTTGTTTAGTATGCGCTTGCGCTTGAAATCCTCTATGTTTGGCCATCTCCTATCATTTCCCTCGCGGGTCTCTACTTTCGTGTCGATGGGTATTCCTTTTACCAAGATGTTTCTAACAAAGCCTTTCATATCATCTTCATCTCTATCTTCATCTTCACATCGGGATCTACTGGAGGATATCTCACCTCGGCGATGTACAATATGCAATGAAGATATCGGGTCCTCGAGCTGCGATGGTGAAGTCGAAAGTGCGTTTATGCTTCCCTGCTCGCATGTCTTCGGTTCTACATGTATTCTGCGATGGCTCGAAACCGATTCGCCGCATCAAAATTGTCCGCAGTGTAGGAGGAAAATGGTGTATACGGAATGTGGACACTTGATAAGACCGTGTGAGGTGACGGGCGCTCCAAAGTCTGTGAAGGAGGAGGATATGCCTAAAAGGTGTTTGGGGTGTAGAGGACTCGAGGGCGAACTAAAGATGGAGGTGGAGATGCTATTGAAGCGGGCCGAGGCGGAACAGAGGGCTTTGAGAGCGATGAAGTTGCATTTCCCGGGGGTTTGGGGGGAGATGTGTAGGGAGACCGTGCGGACTGTGGGGAAGAGAGTGGAGGAGTCGGAGGACGTGTTAAAACGAGATATCGAAGAGCTCTGCAGGAGATATGAGGAGAATGGTAATAGGGAGCAATGGTGATTGAATACTGCAGTCGGAGATGACTCCTGAGGATGGAGATGTGCGATAAATGTGATATATATACCCCGATTCGGTCGTTTGCTTTCACATCACTGGCGGGTGTTCTTTTTGTTGTAGGGTGGTCGGTTATTTGCACTGCGGGAATCCCTATGATTCAACATATCGATCAATAGAATAGACATCAATTTTAGAGTAATAGATGCTCATCAAACCATCTTCCGTTCTTCCATCATCGTGAAATTGTTCGGCTTAGACGTCCATCCGTTCCATCCTCTTCATCGCTACTGTCATCCTTAAATCCTTCTTCTAAATCTCGACTTAATCTTCTGCCATCTTCATCTCTGCCTCGTCTTGCATCCAGTGATAATGCCTCTCGTCGATTATCGTCCACATCGAAGAGCTCCTCTCCATCGACATCATCAAAATCGCTACTATCATGTGCGCTTATTCGATTTCGATTGAAGTCCGCTCTCCATGAGGAAGGAAATATGAGATTAACTACTGTCGCTTGGGCTCGTTGTCGTAGAGATGTGGTTCGTGTAGAAATGCTATCTAATGGGATGTATTGACCAGCCCGAGCTCGATATCGTTTCCATACTGGGACAATGACGAAGGATATGAGTAGATAGAGAATGAGTGAAATGATTGCTGGTACTATCAGGGTCTGCGAAAATGATGTTAGCTCAGGTTAGTAGGGAAGAATTCCGAGGTGGTTATTGTATAAATGACCTTTAGCAATGACCATGTGGAACCCATATTGGAGGTTGTAGTTGGAGTGTCTTCGTTTCCAGCAGTGTTAGGTGCAGGATGGGGTATATATGGAACTGATGCTCCCCCGTTCAGGGCTGCACGAGGTCGCCACGCGTTCGTCATACGATGAATTACTGTGACTAGGTACTTGGGTATTCGATACGGAATTGAAGCGATGAGGTTAGAAATGCTTCTAGAGGAGAGTACCGGTACTAAACCCTACCGAGATTGAAGTAAGTTCCGATACGAGAAGTAAATCATCCACAATTGCTTAAATGAACGGACAACTGCAACATCCGTTCGTTCTCCTTTCTTTTCAAATAGTACTCGAGTACTCGTAGGTTAACTTGTAGGTTGTGGAAAAGTACATGCATCCGGCGGGTTACACCTATTATTAGTTCTCATCCTTTCATTCGTTGGGGGTTGCTTTAGAGAAGAGCAAGAAGAGGTGCGCTATCGTTATCAGATTCTTCTTTCATATCACTGGACTTATTGGACAAGCCATATTTAAAGTCCGACATTCCGACCCGGCCCAGCCAGCCCAACCCATCCACCCATCACCAAAGAGAAGGGACAAGAAAACAATAATACAATAATAGGTCAAAATATTAAACACACCCCGTCTATACCACCTAACTACACCCTAAATACTTCTTCGGTTTTAAGGGGTGTTAATTCAACTTCGGAACCTTCTTATCCATTCAATATTAGATCGGGGCAGAGTGATAATTTTAAACAAACTCAACATTCATTTGCTTTCCTTCATTCTCTTTTGCATCGCTTTTCTTTCTTCCTTCTTTCTTTTGCGACTGTTGTTGTTGTTGATACCCATCCCCCCATCCCATCTCATCACAGTACCGGTAACTCCACAGCTAAATTGCACAGGATTCTTTTCCTTGAAATATTGGCTTCTATCGGTCTCCATCCTGGATACAGTGGTCTGTGGGTCAAGGGCAAAGTGTTTGATGTACTTACAGCAACACCGAGGGAGGATATCAGTTTCAGCCTTTCGAAACGAATCCTGAGGAGGATTGACTGGGGGCAAATAGACTTTTTGTGACTGAAGTGTGGGCAGTTGAATTATTGGGTTCTCCAGATTCTCTGTTGACCTCGAGGTCGATACTATTCACAAGGAAGTACAGACTGAGATCCTCTTTTGACTTCAAAAGTGGTGCTGGAGAAAGCCATATTGTGGTCACTGGTAAGTACCATCTAGTCTTTACCCTCACAGTATCACCGAGCTTCCTATTACATCTACAATATTGGGGGACTGATCCTGCCAGTGTTGCAGAATCTGGCACAAATTCATGCTAACCATTTCTGTTTGGTAGTGCGACTTCGGGATCTCCCAGGATAATACCAATATTGAATGACTCTCGAACAATTGGCAAAGACCATGATGTGAATTTTCACAATATCTTGAGACATTGATGATTACAACAAAACTTTTCGAGGGCAGGTGTACCACAAGTATTACTGGGTGTTGGGACCAATATAGGTGGAAATAAGGACAATCGAAAAACAAACTGTTTGATTAGGAAACTTCTCCATCATGTCGTCAACTGGGAAGTCCTCTTTCTTCTCGAGGAATAAGAAGGATAAGAGAAATCCTAATGATGAAGGACGACAACTTTCTTCCGCAGGGAACAATGAAACAGGAAGTGGAAGTGCTCGTGGGTCGCAATCTTCAAGACATGCAAGAATGTCCTCGGTGGCCTCAGAAGATGCTTTTGGCTCGCCTGGTGCGGACTTGACGGGAATCAATATGATGGCTGGTGTTATTACTTCAATTCCATATGACAGTGTAATGGCAGATGGCAGATCACCAATACCAGTAGATTATCTACCCAGGAGCGATCAAATGCCATTAAGAAGAGAGCCACTTCCGCATCATCTGAATATGAGTGGCATGGATTTTCATCAATACCCCGCCTCTGACACAGCATCAACTAATGGCAGTTCGCATCCTTCCGGTCCACGTCCTCCACCGACTGGGGGTAATGTAACAATGGCATCAACAGGGAATCGTACAACTCAATTACAACAATGGGGTCCCAGTAGGACCAGTATCGCCAGCACTGTAAATGGGAGCCACAATTCAAGATACGATTCTTATTCCACAAATCAATCCTCAAATTATGGCGGTCGCGTATCGTTCGATCAACAAAGTATAGATTCAATGACCGAAAGATCTAGCGTTCTCTCGTCAGGAAGCTCCTCAAAAACGGCTTTGCCAGGCTCTTATTCCAATAGCTCGTTATCACCATCATATCAACCAGGAAGTGGAAGAGATGCCCAACGGCTGACAAAATTACCTCAACATCTCAGCGCAGGATATGGTTCCCCAGTCGCATCGCCAGATGGATTCAAGCTCAACAAACCCAACGATGACAGAGTTATTGAAGAGCAATTTTTGTCACTAATGCAGAAACGAGGATGGCACAATTTACCAGATCAGGCGCGCCGGCAAATGATGGCATATACACCAGCGAAGAAGTGGACTTTAGTACATCAAGATCGTTTGACGGAATGGCAAGGTGAACAGAAAAGGCGAACAAATGCCAGGCAAACCGGTCAATATGGTTCTGCTATGGAAATGCTCCTCAATGCTGAGGAAGAAGGAACTCCGGAATGGTTTGTAAGGAAGGTCATGGACAATAGCATTTCCGCAAAGCAATTACAAAGTCTCGCAGTCAGCCTCCGAACGCAACCAATCGGCTGGGTAAAAACCTTTGTGGAATGCCAGGGTCAAGTTGCTCTCACCAATGTACTCGGAAAAATTAATCGGCGACAAGCTCAGGGACCGACCGGACCAGAGGGGACAATTAGTGAAAAGGATTTGGAGAGGGAATATGATATCTGCAAGTGTCTGAAGGCGTTGATGAACAACAAATTTGGCGCCGACGATGCTTTGCAACATCAACAAGTCATCGTGGCTTTGGCTACCTCCTTGGTATCGCCCAGGATTCCAACAAGAAGGGTTGCCAGTGAAGTCTTGACTTTCTTGTGTCATTGGGCAGACGGACAGGGTCACTTGAAGGTCATCCAGGCTATGGACTATGTAAAAAATCAACAGGGCGAAAATGGACGTTTCGATGCATGGATGCGTGTTGTTGAAGTCACTGTTGATGGCCGAGGAAAGATGGGAAGTCTTGTGGGTGCCAGTGAGGAGGTCAGAACGGGTGGTGCGGGCATGGAGAATCTGCTCATGGAATATGCTCTGACGAGTATGTTCTTGATCAACATGGTCGTTGATGCTCCTGAGAGGGACTTGCAGCTCCGTATTCATATTCGAGCTCAATTTACAGCATGCGGCATCAAGCGGATTCTTACGAAGATGGAAGGCTTCCAATACGATGTTCTCGATAAGCAAATCGAAAGATTTCGTACGAATGAAGCGATTGATTATGAGGATCTACTCGAGCGTGAGAACAGTAGTATTAAGGATAGCATTGAAGGGGAAACCAAAGATCTCACTGACCCAGCTCAAATTGTCGATGCTATTATGCAAAAGGTTCAGGGTAGCAGGACTCAAGATTACTTCGTTTCTGCAATGCAGCATCTTCTACTCATTAGAGATAGCGACAGCGATGAACGATTACGAATGTTTCAACTGGTGGATTCTATGCTTAGTTATGTCGCTATGGATAGGAGACTGCCTGACATGGATCTAAAGCAAAGTCTTAATTTTACGGTACAAAGTCTCTTGGACAAACTGCACACAGATTCCGAGGCACGGCAAGCACTCGATGAAGCCCTTGAAGCTCGCCAAATTGCCGATTCGGCAATGGCTGAAAGGGATGAAATGAGAGCTAGGATCGAGTTAGGTGCGGATGGGCTTGTAGGCAAAATGCAAAAGCAATTAGACGAGCAAGCACAAATTATCGAGGTCCAGCGGAGACAAATCGATGCAGTAAAGGGTGAGATGGAAAATCTTCAAGCGGTTCGTTCTAAGGAAGCCCAACGGAATGAGCTTGAAACTAGAGAGCTGTACCTCATGCTCCGTGATGCACAAGATATCGCCGCGTCCAATGCCATGAAGGGTGGATCTGGATTGGGTGAGACAGATCCTTCGCACATGAAAGGTATCCTGGATCGTGAGAAACTCATGGATCGTCTCGAGATGCAAATTGAGCGACAGAAGACCCAATATAAGCTTGAAGGTAGAGTATGGGGCGATACAGCCGGTCCTTCTGATCGTTTGAGAGCACTTCGTGAAGAAATGGATGATGAAGATCGTGGACAAGGCGGACAAGGCGGACAGACTCTTGGAGTTCCACCCGGAGATTACACTAACAGCATTCTTGGAAACGTAACGAGATCAACTAAAATACCCAGAAAACCAATAGGCGCGGAAGAATTCTCGGAAGGTTCTGACATGGATGACGAAGAGGGTATGGTTTATGAAAAGCCTCGTGTTGTCCGGCTAAGGAGACCAAAGCAGTCCAAGGGCTACTTAGATGAGATGGGCTCCAAAGTAAGGCGTTACGATGCTAGTGATGATGAAGAGAATGATGGAATTACCACGGGACCTTCACACCCAAGTCTTGAGTCCGACTCGCCTAAAACCCCTCGTGATGATAGTTCTTCGAAGGTTGAGGGACCACCAAAAGTCACAGGCTTCAATGGCCCCCCTCCTCCTCCACCGCCTCCTCCCCCACCTATGCCCGGTCAAGGTCCTCCTGGGTTCAATGGTCCCCCTCCTCCTCCACCGCCTCCACCCCCACCTATGCCCGGTCAAGGTCCTCCTGGATTCAATGGACCACCCCCTCCCCCTCCCCCTCCTCCTGGTATGCCTGGTATGAAAGGCATGCCTCCTCCGCCGCCACCTCCCCCTCCTCCACCTGGTATGCCAGGCGGAATGGGTGGGCACTTCTTATCACAACCATCATATAATGCTGCACCAGCACTTGGCATGGGTGTTGCAAGATCCAAGAAGAAGCTCAAGGTTATTCATTGGGAGAAGGTCGATACTCCTATGACAACGCATTGGGCTGCTCATGCACCTACGGCATCAGAGAAGGAAGAGAAATATGCCGAGCTTACCCGCAAGGGTGTTCTTGATGAAGTCGAGAAATTGTTCTTGGCAAAGGAAATCAAACAAATTGGAAAGAGCAGTAAGGCCAAGTCGGACAAGAAACAGATCATCTCAAGTGATCTGATGAGGACGTTCCGTAAGTCTCATGATACCTTTAGCGACTCCGCCCCCAAGCTAACATGTTATAGAAATTTCCCTTTCCAAGTTCTCCACATTTGCTCCAGATAAAATTGCACAAATGATCATTCATTGCGACAAGGACGTTTTAGACAATCCTGTGGTGATGGACTTCTTAATCAGAGATGACATGTGCAATATACCCGAAAGTACAGCCAAGCTTATGGCACCGTACAGCAAGGACTGGACTGGACCTGATGCAAACAAGGAGAATCGAGAATTAGACCCCAATGAGTTAACTCGCGAAGATCAACTCTATCTGCAAACAGCCTTCGAATTACGTCATTACTGGAAGTCAAGAATAAGAGCACTCTTACTTACTCGCACTTTCGAGCAAGAATATGACGAAATTTCGGAGAAGCTCAAACAAGTTGTGGCCGTATCCGAGTCATTGAGAGACTCGGTTTCCTTGATGAATGTATTGGGCTTGATTCTTGACATTGGTAACTATATGAATGATTCCAACAAACAAGCGAGCGGTTTCAAATTGAGCTCCTTGGCACGATTAGGAATGGTCAAGGATGACAAGAATGAGTCAACATTTGCCGATCTTGTCGAACGTATTGTTCGAACACAGTATTCAGAATGGGAAGGCTTCACTGACGACATTGGTGGCGTTGTCGCGGCACAAAAGTTAAATGTTGAGCAACTACAGCAAGACGCCAAACGATACATTGATAACGTCAAGAACGTTCAAATGTCAATTGATTCGGGTAATCTTAGCGATCCGAAGAAGTTCCATCCACAGGACCGTGTTAGTCAAGTTGTTCAACGATCGATGAAGGATGCAAGAAGGAAGGCTGAGCAGATGCAACTGTTCTTGGATGAGATGATTCGGTCTTATAATGATATCATGGTCTTCTATGGTGAAGATGCTGCTGACGATAATGCAAGAAGAGAATTTTTCGCCAAGCTTGCTATTTTCGTAACCGAATGGAAGAAATCAAAAGAAAAGAACATTATTATGGAGGCTACACGTAAGCGTAACGAGGAGTCGATGAAACGAAAGCGTCAACAAATCAATGTTGGTGCTACAGCATCTGCTGGACCACCGTCACCAAGTTCCACAGGCGCTATGGACTCCTTGCTTGAAAAATTGCGAGCTGCCGCACCACAAGTTCGCGATCAGAGAGATCGAAGACGGAGAGCACGATTACAAAACCGACATCAAGTCCGAGTTGCATCGGGCCAGAATATTCCTGACCCAGATGAAATACCAGACGTTGAAACGGGTCTCATGAGCCCTGATTCAGTCAGTACAGAAGGCTTATTAAGTCCTGATCTACCGGTACCTAAGGAGGTCGAAAATGAGACCGATGATGTCGCTGATAGAGCAGCACAATTATTACAAGGCATGCGAGGAGCAGATGGTGCTGATGAAGGGGATGGAGATACTACTAGAAGGGATAGTGCGAGAAGGTCAAGGCGAAGGAACAATGCCGAGGAGGAAAGAAACGAACGAAGGAGACGTAGACAGAAAGCTACAAGTACATCTGAAGCTGCGATACCCGGTGCGGAAGAAGAAACGAATGCGGAAGATTCAAAAATAAAGGAAACCACGATTCTGGTACCAGGTACGCCGTTATCGGAAGAGGGTGAGAAGATACTCACTCCCACGATGATTGTTAGTCCACCTGATGGTATGGAAACCGATGGTTCGGAGCAGAAACCTATCGATTTGGATGATTAAAGTGTGGATTTTGAATGTGGATTGTGAAGAGATGAGATGCGAAATGAAAATTAAGGCTTTTTTAATGTCTAGTGCTTCAATGAAGGTTCCTTTTTAATGGAAACTTCGTGTACCTTATTTCCTTGACTGATTGGTTGGTATGGGTGGGGCGGGAGAGGGTGACGAGGCAATGGCTTCGAGTGTGGATGGTTGGAAGGGGTATGGATAGGAAGGGTGGGGATGGATGGATGGATGGATGGATAGGGGAGGAAAGGGATGGAAAGGGATGGATGGAGGGGAGTTACGAGAATCTTCGTTTCTGCTGCTGCTGCTGCTACTGTTACTGTTAGCGTGCGTGGTGAATGGTTTACCGGTACTGCGGTTTCTCCTTTTTTTATACTCTATACAGTCTATGTAATACCTGGATTTGTGTCTGGGCAACTGGACGGATGGATGGATGGAGATGGAGATTAGTGAATGAGAATGAGAGACGGGGGTGTAGTGGATAGATAGGGTGAGTGAAGATAGGAGAGGAGAAAATAGGAGAGGAGAAAATAGGAGAAGAGATGAAAAGAGACGAGAAGAGAAGAGAAGAGAGAAGAAGAAGTATATATTGTTTTAATTAATAACAATGAGATGAGATGAGATGAGTTGTGCATACGGTATATAATTTTGGTACTTGACTTGACTTGGGTGTTGTGTGTTGTGTGTTTTTGTTTGTTGATTTGGGTGTTATGTGTGTGCGTGTGTGCGGCGAGAAGGTGGGAGGTGGGAGGTGGGTGGTGAAGGGGAAGTGGAAGGGGATAGGGTTAGCTGGGAAGTAAAGATATAAACAAGTACTGTCTGTATGTACCTAAGTAGGTGCGTGTGTATGTGTTTACGTGTTTACGTGAGGTTAATTGGGTGAGTTAATTTGGGTGAGAAAGTTCTTATCTTTCTATTTGTTTATTTGTTGGGTTGGATTGGGTTGGGATGGAATGGAGATGGGATGGATGGAGAGGGATGGGATGGGCTGGGCTGGGCTGTGGATGTTGAATACATATAAGTAGAGAGGATAGAGTAAGTGGGATTATGTATTGTTTTTGCTTCTGCTTAAAAGATAAGAGGTGAAAGGTAACAGGATTTGGGTTTAATTGATATTTGTTAAGTTACGAGTATCAATTTGTGTTAGTAGTTTGTGGTAGGGATGCGTTTGGTTTCTTTGGGTTTCTTTGGGTTTTTTTGGAGGGAGGAGTTTTTGATGGGGTATGTTTGGTGTTGATTTGATTTTGAGTGGTGTGTGGTATGTGGTGTGTGAAATGGGAGAGGAGAGGAGAGGAGAGGAGAGAAATTGTGGATTTATGAAGTGATGATTTGTAATCTATATCTTATATTAAACAGCATCTGTTAAATCTAGGCATTACTTTCGGGGGCAGGGAAGGGGGAAGGAGGGGGGTCTTGGAAGTATTAGTGTATATAGATGGATAGATAGATTTATAGAGGTGATTACTTTGAGCGATAGAGATATGGATAGAGAGATGGAGATGTGTATATATGCGCTCAGGCTAGTTTGTTTCTTGGTTTTTGGTTTCTAGTTCTTGAGTTTATAAGTTTATAAGTTTATAAGGGAGGAGGTGGCTAAGTAGCTCAGTTTGCCCTGGATTGATGAGAAATTGAAAGTCTCTATTCGTGAGATGTAGGGGAGTAGAGGAGTGGAGGAGTAGAAGAGTAGAGGAGTATTGTAATCTTACTATTACTATTACTATGTGCTATTCTAGCCCTGCGAATGCGAATGGCTTGCTTAGATGACGAGGTTGGGGTTCGGATTGAATGTTTGTAGATGCGAAGTTTGTGGAGTGTGTGATGGAGGGATGGATGGATAGATGGAGTGTGATGGAGGGAAGGATTGTGGATTGGGGTGAGGGTGAGGAGGGAGAGGAGGGAGATGATGCAGAGGATGGAATGTTTTGGTGCTTTTATTAGGGAGTAGGAAGTGTGGAGTAGAAAGAGGGGTAGAGAGAGGATGTATGGATATTGGTAGATTTGGTGATTTCTGCGTGATGTTTTATGTTTTATGGATGGTGCCGGTGCGGGAGGATGGTGTGGGAGGATGATGCGGGGAGCAGATTCACATTGGGTCAGATACGTTTGATCGCTGAAGCGAGGAGAGTGACTCGGTTTGTGGTTAGGGGGCGTGGGGGATGAGATCCTGGGTACGTTTGAAGGGGAGTAATGTGATGGGAGAGTGATGGGCGCTGTGTATCTCGGGGACCATCTTGTCGATATTTTGGTTGGAAGGATGGAATGCTCGATTTGTTTGGTATATTGAGGGAGAATGTCGTTCGAAGATCCAAAGCAAGGTAAGGAAAGAGGATAAACCACTTTGTTTGTTTTTCCGGCAATTGTCTGGCAAGTGTTCGGGACAAAACGAAGCTATAGTTGATGTGTTTGGTATATTGAGGGATGAGATAGTTCGAGGTCCAAGACAAATTGAGGAGAATGGTAGTCCCATTTAGCACGGTCCAGGAACTGATAGTCGGTTCTCCAAGAAATGGCCGCCCGGTTCTCAATCGGGGAAAGCGATTGTCCCCCTTTTATATAATAGGAAATAAAAAGTTCTGAAAGAAGGTCCTAGGGTTTAAATATACTTTATTCGTAAGGGGACAATCGCTTTTCCCGATTGAAAACCGGGCAGTTGTTCCATAGAAAGCCGACCATTATATTGCAAATGAATGTATATGAACATTGAGAATGGGAAATAGTCAGTCTATAGTTTTGAGTCGGATCATTCATAGCATTTGAAAATTCCACGTGACTTTGGCTGAGGAGAATTCACCAATATCTTTACGAGTACATTGCTCTCACTTCATCTTCGGCTATCATCTTATTTATCTAAACCTTCAGAGGTACAACTTTTACAAGACTCGACTTCAACTTTAGCATTAACATTACATCGCACACGTCTTTATTTAAATCGACACCACACATCGAGAATCTACCCAATAATCTGTTGTTGATGCGAAATATCTGTTGTTCGATTGAGAAATTTCGATTTCGATCCTTGAGAGGAATACACAGATACGAATACAGTTATCAAGAATCAAGATGGCAGTTGGACTTGGACAAAGATTTTTGATGAAGGTGGTGAAGAATGAGTCGATGAAAACGTATGTGTACTTGAAGCTGATTGGAGATAATTGAAGATTATGTAGAGACTAACTTTTGTTTGTGCGATATAATAGGGATCCGTGAGTATATACTTGTCTGGGAAGAGGGGAGGGGAGAGAGGAGAGAGGAGAGAGAAATCGAAACTAATTGGAATCTTCGCATAGCCCGGAAATTTATGGATGGAAAGTTTTCTTCCTGGCATCTTCTGGTATGTAATTTATATGAATTCTGGCGGGCTAGAGGAGGAAAGTCGATTGTAATACCAGTATACGTGCTAATTTTTACATAGCTTGTTTTGGCGGCATGCCTTTTGGCTGGGGTATGTCTGTCTAGATTTATTATTCGAAAGTTTGGATACGAACTAGCGAATACTGATATATGTCTAAAGATATTGGTACAATTGGAGGTGTCATTGTTATGCCGACTTTTACCAAGTAGGTATACCCCTCCTACACTACACTCAAAGCAGGATTGACCTAAACAGAGCATACCACATCGACAAGCTTGATGACAGTGCGCAAGCCAATCTTTTATCGAATAGTGAGTTCTCTTTCGCCCACGAGTCATGATATGGGATATGGATCTAAAAACAGATACGATAGTCGTCAGTACATTGCAAGCCGGCTGTTTCTTTGGATCACTGTTCGCATACTATATTGCGGATCGATGGGGTCGAAAGGTAAGGAGTCTGAATCTCTACGAGATTCTTCAATGTTGTTTTACTGATAAATCACAGCCTGCGCTGCTTATTGCTGCTGGTATAACTATTGTGGGTGTTATTGTTCAGTGTGCTTCGGCGGGTCATATGTAAGAAAGAAACGCCTGCTTATACCTTTCCTTCTCATTCATGCACAAACTAATTAGTAGATAGCTCGGCACTCTATGTCGGAAGACTTGTTGCGGGAATGGGTGTTGGAGCTGCTAGTATGCTTACGCCACTCTATGTACGCTTCACAACTCCTTTCCCTATTTGAGGTCCTAGACTTATCAAAGTGGCTATCGCTAGGTCAGCGAAAATGCACCTAGAGCAATTAGAGGTGCTCTTACTGGAATGTACCAATTATTCATACCACATTAATCTTTAATCTAGTGTCCGAGTCACCATGTGCCGGATCGTTGAAGTGTTTAGCATGATGCTATTTGAGCTATCTACCGTTTTCTAAACTATCGAAACCCATCGAAACCCATCGAAACCAAACCATCGAAACCCATCAAAGCTCATCAAAACCTGTGATTGAAACCCTAATCCACCATGACTTTCAACTCGCCTTCCTCTTCTTCAAGCTGGGTTAAAACATCTTCTCCTTGAAAGGCATACTGAATCGCTTTCTTGCCATTTACTTGCAATACATAATTCTCTGATAATTGCCCGCAATCTCTAAGCCTACTAATGGTATCATTCGGTGATCTGCTAATAGGAGCAATAATCAAGGGATACTTGTGAAATCCGGACAAATCCCTCTTCAGATTTTTGCGTGATCGACAAGTATATATGATCTGTTTCCATAAATCTTCAAAAAGCAAGATTTGAGGAGGGAGGCTCTCCACAAAAGCGTTCGATAATGTTAATTGTAACATTACAGGGGGGAATTCGCCTCGTTTTTTAATGTATTGCCGATATATTTTAGCGACTTCTATATCTGGTGTGAAATATAACAAGGTTCCACCGTATCCTCGAAAGTCTGAAGGGGTAGAGCTAACTATAGAACTGTATATGATCTTTCCGTTTTCATCCTTTTCAATTCGATCTTTCGAAATTGCTTTATATAAAACGAGATTTCCTGGAACATTCGATGGCCTTGCTGTAGTTGTTGCGACTGCTATATTACCTCTAAAACTTCCCGCAGGATTCTGTCGAAGTTCGTCCCTCAAAATGCTAGCTTTCTTTAGACCTTCTAAGCCCAAATACCGGATTGACATAGTATCTCTAACCCAATACTGAGCTGATTCTGTTCCTCTTACATCTGCGAATTGGGTATCCATTATTGCGTCGACAAGCTCAGCGGCCACGCCCCATCCCAGCATATGAGTTGTCCAAGCTTCCTGACCATCCTCGAGCTCGGAAGAGGGAACGGCCTCTAGTGCAAACTCCAGAAACCCGAATTCGTACATGGTGTACCGTGCGACGTCAGTGTCGTCTGCTGTTACCGAAACCCATCTTCTCCAAATGTTCGTAGCCTTATCTGCTCCCCACCCAAGATACTGAAGGGTCTCCTCGCTTTCAAGCATTTCCGGGACAATGAGAAAGTGATCTTGACGGAATCCTGAGCCCTCAGAATCGCCGGAGCTTGATGATGAATCTGAAGAGACAATAGAGGAGGAAATCTTTCGTCGTTTGCCAATCGCTGGCTTCATGAGATTTCTTTGGCTGAGTATTGCAGCATCAGCTGCGTTAAAGATAGGAGTGGATGACATTGTCTATTGAATGTTTTGAAACACGTTGATCGATGTGAGCAGCTAGGGTAAGTCGAACTGTGTTGGGATTTGGAAGATATAATTATAGCGAGAGTGGGATCAACCGTCGACTTTATACCTGAGAAAGGTATTGTGGACAGGTGGCTTCTAATGTAAATTGGTCAAGTATGATTCACCGTTCGAGTCATGCACATGATCATATGTTGAGCTATCGTCATTATTGTAGGTGGGGCCCGGACAGAGGAGGCTATCGCCACTCACGTGGGCCTTGGAGTGAAGGAGTTGGTTAATACTTGGATAGATTGGAGTTGTGAGAGATATCCCGACTGGGACTATGTTAAGCTTCTGGATTAATTACGGTGCTATATTGCATCTCAAAGGCGATACGGCATGGATTGGTAACTTGGGCCCTTTCGATGTAGGATTTTGGCGAACAGGCTACTAATCTATCTTTGTTTAGTTTCACTTGCTCTTCAGATGTTGCCGGCGATTTTTCTGTTGTTGGGAATTGCTTTGTGTCATGAATCTCCTCGATGGTTGGCACGACAAGATAATTGGGAAAAGGCTACTGCGGTTTTGTCGAAAGTATCTAAGTAAGCTACTTCTTACTTTAAGCGAAAGACTTGGGGCTATTGCTAACACATACAAGTCTTCCACCCGACCATCCCTACATCCGCATGGAACTAGAAGAAGTATATTCCCACCTCCCACCACCATGAGCCATGCACCATGCACCCTCCACCCCTAACCAACCTCCACTAACCACCCCCAGATGTCCGAACAACTCGAAAACGAACGCCGCCTCATCAACGGCGCCGGTTTCCTCGACCTCATGAAAGAAATGTGGACCATCCGCGGAAACCGCAATCGCGCCTTAATATCCATAGGCCTAATGATATGTCAACAAATGACCGGCACCAACGCCATCAACTACTACGCACCCAAAATATTCCTGAACCTCGGCGTCAACAGCACAACCTCGGGTCTCTTCGCCACCGGCATCTACGGCATTGTAAAAATGGCCACCTGTGCCGTATTTCTGCTCGTCGCTGCCGATTCGCTCGGACGACGGAAACCCCTGTTGTGGACGAGTATTGCGCAGGGTTGCGCTATGTTTGTTATTGGTTTTTATGTGCGGTTTGCGCCGCCGTTGAAGGGGGCTGTTATTCCTCCTGTCGGCTATTTTGCTCTCACGTGCATCTATTTGTTTGCGGGCTTTTTTCAGTTTGGATGGGGTCCTTGCTGTTGGATTATCGTGAGTGGGATACCGACGGCGAGGTTGCGGGCGTTAAATGTGGCGATTGCGGCGGCGACGCAGTGGTTGTTTAATTTTGTGGTGGCGAAGGCGGTGCCTACTAGAGGTTTTTTTTTTTCTCTTTTTCTTTCCTTTTTCGTCTCTTACCTCTTCCCCCCCACCCCCCCAAACAAACCCCCCAGAACCACTAACTACTCGCTAACAACACCCCCAAAAATAGTGCTAGTAACCGTCGGACGCGCCGGCTACGGCACCTATTTCATCTTCGGCTCCTTCTGCTTCAGCATGTTTTTTTTCGTCTGGTTTCTGATACCCGAAACTAAAGGGCTCTCGCTTGAGAAAATGGATGATTTGTTTGGAATCACAGAGCTTATTCGTAAAGGAGATGGAGATGTGGAATCGCGTGTTGGGGATGGGGATGTGGGTCGGGTTTGGGGTATTGGTCATGGGGATGAGAAAGTTGGGGGTACGGTTGCGGATACGGATGGTAAGGGTGTTGGTGTGGATGTTGGGATGGGTAAGGGTAAGGGTGTTGGTGCTGGCGAAGATGCGAGGAAGAGGGAAGATGCGCAACATATCGAACATGCGACAGCGACTCCAAATAAGGGCGTATACAATAATCATCAAAGCCACGAGATGACATCGGGCGATGATGATAATGGCGATAACAAGGAGATTGCAGTTCAATCGGGTACAGATGTTGGTGTTAAGAGTGCGAGGGGAAAGGAAAAGGAAAAGAGTGATAGTGGTAGTATTACCGATCAGGTGGCATTTTATTCCTAAGGGAAGGGAGTTTGGGTTGGAGTACCGAACAGTAGCTGCTTTGGATTTTTGAGGGATTTTTGGATAATTTTTGGATAATCTAATTAGGGTACCGGTATTTCGGTATTTCGATATTTGGGATGAGGATAGAGGTGGGGTTATATGTGAATGCAGGTGCAGATACACAACAAACACCTTTCATACAACAATATGATACTTTCTTATATTCTAATCTCTCTCGGTTTTTAAATGTGTAGAGATAACTTACTTGAGTACAATATCATATATTCGAGTACTAAACTCATGATTATGGAGCTTCTGGATATTTCATGTGTGTGCATATCCGCAGTATACCAGTGTATGCTACAATACCGTATAGTACACCGAATAGTTACCTGCGGAATCTGTGCTAGATAGATATCTTGTGGAGTTGTATAGCTGTAAAATGGTAGAGTTCTGAGACTGCTCTAGGTATCTATCTCCCTGTGAATTTCTTGAATGTATATCTATCTCAAAGGGGGTGATGACAAAGTAGATGACCGCTTCCATTAAATCTAATTTAATCGGTGCCGGTCAAATTCAATGTACTATATCTATTAGTACACAGTAATGTTGAATAAGTGAATGACTCTGCACTGTCTGCTGAACTATCTGGACAGAGCGAACTGGTGTATGTGAGTAAGAAATGGATGTAAAGTAGCAGAGTGGACGGACCATCACTTGATAGTTGGACTTGAATAGGAGTAGTGGAAAGAGGCTGGATATACTGTAGAATAATGAAGCTGACTAAGCCACGACGAAATGAAATGGATATGGTTTTGAATACCCATGAAATAAATGGCTATGAGGCAAAAAAAATCAGTAATATCAATCTTTAAAATCCGAGTATATAAATCAATGGCCGTGAATGGAACATTGTGCAGATAGTGATCAACTAGATCGCAAAGATTTCATCTTGTGACTTTCCTCCGGTATTAATTCATCTATATCGTATAGAAACAGTATTTATACTCGGTCATCTTGCTTCCTTCATTTCCATGGGCTCGCTAAACCTTCTTCTCCCACTTACTCATCCCAAACCTTTTATAAACGCCTCGACAAAGGGGTTGCCAGATCCTCTTCTCACCACCAAAATACACATATCCCGAGCCCAAAATCGCACCACTTAAATGCGCCTTCACATTTCAAAAATTAGCAACGTGTATCATGTGAGGAATCTCCAGAAACCCTTACCGCGTGCCCTAATCTGATACTTTTGAATGCACCAAAGACGCCCAGGAGATCAAACAGCATCATCGCACCCAACAACTCTTGCGCCGCAAAACTATACGGGATGAACATGATTTGGAATTTCGCGTCAGGGTGCTGTAAAGCAAACGCACCCACCAGCGCAAACAGCGCACCGCTGGCTCCCAAAAATGGTATAGGATAAGAATTAGGCCGAAGCCCCGCACTGATAGCTTGCACCCAACTGCTGATGACACCGGTCGAGAGATAAAAAGCCGTGATATGAGCAATACTCGAATTGAACGTGGGGTCTTGTCCTAGGGTTGGCATGAATGAATGTAGCCCGTACATATTGAAGCCTAGATGAATGAAAGAGCCATGGCCAAATACACATGTGAGCAATGTGAAATTCTTGTTCGAGCCAGGTGTGTGCATGAAGACATTGCTCCAGAATGCTGGTGCGAGGGTACCTAAAGCATGCACTGCTGCATTCATCGACATAAGTGCATAAGTAACCTGTTCGGAGGGCAATAATTTCCGCCAGAACTCGAGGCGTCCGTCGAGGCTACCAAGTTGGTTGACTGTAGGCCATCTGGTCGGTGAATATAATACTCCCGGGGGGTATTTCATTTCGTGGACTTTGCGTCTCACATCGTACGTGTTTTCTTGATTCCGGGTGAACACTGATATGACCTTGGGAGTCTCTTTCTCGAGATTCACATTCTCGATTACGGCAGCCGTGGTGTATATCGTGCCCACTGCTGCCAAGGTCCATATCGTGATCGCAGTACCGTTAGATTGAACGGGATGGCCGCCGGGTGAGAACCGCCACGGGTTAGGATTTGGCGGTGAAAAGTTATGAGCGCTTCTTATAGAACTTTTAGATTGATACGCTGTCCTGTTAAATAAACATGGTACTGATGTGATGCGTGAAAGGATATTCGAAGGCTTGGCGAGCCCGATTGTTCGAAACATGTCGAGTGTTCAAGACGTAGAAATCGATGATGTTTATTATGGTACTGAGGAAGATTCAAAAGTGTACCAGTAGTTTAGGAAATAATCACAGTAAGTTGTCTTCCGTACCATGGTGGCGTGATGTTTTGTTTTGAATTTTGGATGTTCTCGGTGGATATTTATGTTGCATCAGCACGTGACGAGAATATTCTCGGATAGTCTCGGACCCAGTGCCGACAATATCGGGTAACTTTACAGGCATGCCGAAAAAAGATTCCCGCCCCCCTTTATGATTGCTCGTCAAACTTGTCTTTAAAATCCAAAATCAACGAATGCCACCAAACAATCAAATTTACTAAAGCGAGCTTATTTATTCATATTCATACAAATCTCACCAATTCTTCAGCCACTGGAATCCATAAAAGAAATAATCATAATTACCACTAGTTTTCATTCACGGGAGGCTTCGATTGAGACAGTTGTAAGAGAAGAAAAGTTTGCAATATTATTAAAGCCCAAGATACAAAAACGAAGATACCGAAATGGGCAAAGAGATGTCAATCGAAAACGCAAGTATATTCATAATGATAAAACGACCTATGTATTCTAGATTCCTCCGCTGGTATCCCAAGCTTCCCTTCCGACCGTCCCCATAACTCTAAATCGCAAAGAGCATCAATTATAACCAATGCCTAATCCATCAATCAACCGCTGCCCCGTCCTCTCAGTTCCTCAATTCTCCTTCTCACACCATTCATTTCCTTCCTCGCATCAGCAACTCTTACCGCATCCTCAAGTTCTATTTCCTTTCTCCGCGCTTCTTCTTCTAGTCTCATGAGCTCTGAATCTAGATCTATCAGATCTTCATTTGCGTCTAGATTCAGCTTCTCGTCGGGGTCGGTCTCGGACTTGAAAATCGGAATAGAGGGGCCGGTAGACGGGTAGGTATTTGTGAAAGTGAGGGAGGGAACCCATGTTTCGAGGTCGATAACTGGAATAGTTGGGGGCTTGGAGGTTTCAACAAGGGAGGGTGTTGGTTCGGCTGTTCAGAAATGAGACAGTTCGGGTTCAGATGAAGTGTCGGACTTCAGTTGGGTAACTGGATCAGTTGTAATTTCAGATTCTTCAGATTTGATTCTTGAGGCAGCCGACACCGGGATAAATTGTGATGCGGAAGGAAGGATTACGGGTGTATTAGGGCTGGAGTTATTTTCAATTGATGGCTCGGACTTCAAAGGGCGGATTGCTGAAAGAATTTCAGCCATATCAACAGGCTCAGCGGTTGCGTTGAGTACGGGTTGAGATGTCTCACGTTTGATTTTTGTCGAAGTCGAGAGAATTTCAGATTGAGATGAAGGAGTGGTATTCTTACGTAGGGTGGGAATGGAAGAATCCGGGAACAACGAGTTTGATATTGAAAGATCCGCTGCAGAAACCTTTTGAGCAGTATCAATATCCATAGAATCAACCGGTGTTGTGGCTCCCGATCCGAGTGGCCGAGATTCAAGGTCTACCGAGGTTTGTAATAAGGAGTCCGTGGTGGATGTTTCCAGAATTGATTGATTAGAAGTGTGCTCTGATTTGAGTCTCGAGTAGAATTTCAAAGATGGCTTCATGAACAGAGACGGTCGTTTTCGTCTAGTCAAATCTATTAATTCAGCAGGGCGCTTCGGTGCCTGTGATGTGAGCTCAGACTTGATTACAGAAGGTGAGGTGGTGGCTGAGCTAGATAGCTCGGAATGGCTAGGATCTGTAGATGCACGTTCGGTGCATTCGGGGATTTCTTCGATTGATCCACCAGTCAGTGCAGAGGAATGACCGAAAATTGCATCTCCTAATGTGGGTTGGACCTGTGCAAGTCCACCTGCTACCGAGCTCATCTGATGAGCAGTTTGATTGGGTTGCGGTAGGAGGGTAAGCTCTGATTCATGCACCATGAACTCTGCAGGCTTAGGTCTCAATGTTGCTGACCCTGACCCACGAGACGCGCCAGCAAGGCCCATTGTGAGAGACGGAACTCGTACGTTCTCTGAAAGCTTCTCCAATCTTTCAGGCTTGCTTTCCAGATCGATGGCAGCGACCTTGGTCTTGCCAACAACTTCTGAGTCTTCGGGGATCTCCCCTTTGTCAAGATATCTGCGTCTCTCCTATTATTGGATAAGTTTAGTCTCGCAAACACCACTCATTGATTGCAACATACCTGTAGCTTCTTGAATGCTGCCGGTATCTCATATGAGTACAGTTTATTCCACGAACGCCAGTAATCTGGTAAGTTCTTGCGAAGTTCCCTCTTGAGTGCATCGATCGCCGCTATTTTGGGCTTCGGGCCAAGTGCTTTGTAATGATGTAGCCAGATTTGTTGGAAATCATGTTTCTGGGCACAATTTCAGTACTTTGCTGCACTTCACAAATGGCAGTATGAAGGATATGCTTACCGAGAGCTCTCCATAAGCCTTCTCTCGTTCTTTGGAAGATAACAAATCCCACGATTGTCGGATTGGAGCGATAGGGGTCTGCGCAATAGCTGTGGTATCGAAAAACTCTTGGTTCCGTAAGTAATGATGTTGAAGTCAAGGATCTGTTGGGACCTACTCTTTCCACGCCACAGGTAATAGAAATTTTGTGTATCGCTATATCTGAAAAGCTTCTTAGTTTGCGATGGAGGGATTAAATATTTTTCTATATCTTCGTCAGGCACAACGACTCCGTCTGCTAATCTTAAAGTATAGTTAGTACATTAATGCCCTCTAATGAACAAAAGACTTACCTCAATTTATGTGTGATCATATGTTTCTGGTAGACCTTACGATGAACGGCAGTTCTTTTCAAAGTATCGACCGAATCGTTGCGCTCATTTTGAATGGTAGATAACTTCGACTCGTGTGCCTGGACCTTTTCGTCCCATTCATCCTTAGTCAAATTAATGTCACTGGCTCTCTTATACTTAGACACTCCAATGCAGAGTCCTTCTAACCTCCGTGGGTAGCGACGAGGGCCGTTAGCTGCAGGTTTGATGAAATCATCTGCTAATTGAGTTAGATAAGCAACTACAAATTGTCAGGCACAGCACATACCTAGAACCAGCGACGCCAATTTCAGCCGAGCTTTAGACCTCAATTGTCCTTCAACTATAGCATGGTCGATAGACTCAATCAAAATCTTCTCGTCCTTCTGGCTAGATCCCTGAGCATCAGACTTGGGGTACTTCTTCTGCCAAACCATGATTCCAGAATGAACATCATACAAGTCGATCATGACACCATCGTAGAATCTATAATTGAACCCTTCTTTCACCGTCACTTCCAATCCAAACTCTTCATCGTTTGACACAATGAACCTTGTAAGTTCCCCGGTTTCTCGATCTTTCTTCCCAACTTCCATATATTCATCGAGATATTTCTGTTTGCTGGCATCGGGGGATATGGGGAGTGTTGGTAGACAGACAGAAAACCGTTCATACGAATCTCCCAAACAGGCCGTCATAATATGGTTTATTTGTTGAATTGGTGTAAACTCGGAAGTTACTTTGGATAAGTAACCAAAACTGTGGCGTTGTTGAAGAGTCCTGGTATATGTTGAAATACAGGAATGTTTTGCAGAGCAGAAGTAGCTGACCTAGCTCGTCGATACTTGAACCCCCAGAGCATAAAGAGTGCTAAAAATAAAGACTCGCCTTATGCCAGGAGCGCAAGATCAAAGTCGTACGATAACAAAGTTGCTGAAGTGAAGGAATATTCATCGAGGTGATAATCTAGGGACGGGAGATATTGGGGAGGGAAAAGACAACACAACATGAGAGAAGTAATCCGTAAAGCTTGAGAGAATAAAAGTGTCGACTGTTGTAAAAAGGTGGAGGGGAGTGGGAAGATGAAGTAGAGAGCAAAAGTGGTAAAATTGGTGGTCAGAGTGAAGTGAATCGATGCAGCAGCAGCATCACCATCGAGTCGGAAGTATAAGGAAGGTACTCTGGCCTTGGATATGGCTACGCAAAGTGGTATGAGATCCAAGATGCAAAGCTCTCATTAATAGTGCTACCGCGCCTTACATTGCACCATTAACCCCCAACTCACACCACACTCCCTCTCCATCATCCCAATAAATTCAATCCTCTCAAACACCTCCGAAGGATCTAAGAACACCTCAAATCTCGCCAATTTTCCTTCCTCCTCTCCTTCCTCTACAAGAAAGATCTTCCCAAAAGCCGGTATCTTGATCTGTTTCTCTTCTGGATCATTCTTAACTACATACGTAATAAAGCATGATTGATAAATCTTATTTCCGGTGCGGTCTGTACGCACATTAACATTACTCTGACTTCGAACCAACACTAGTTGGTTAGGATGGACTGCATTGCATACCAATTTCAACAGTTTCATGCTTCATGCTCTTGAGCAGAGGAAAGATTTTATGGAAAAACTACACATCCACTCGCGATTAGACCAGTATCTATCTCCTGGAATTGTGAAAGGCAGCCTGTAGAGTAGAGGGAGGAATGTAGTATGTACCTGGACGATATCCTCCACTCCTTTAACTTCCTCCCGATTCCCATATCTCAGTACCGCATTCTTAGCATAGAATTTTCCCAAATCAACCGTATTCAACGAATCGGCCATTACATGAAGCTAGTAGATAGATAGATAGATACATTAGCGAACTTGGATGGTCCAGGAATCAAGGAGTCGTGAGCCATACGTCGTGAACCCACTTGTGTGTATCATCAATGGATTGCACCATTTTCGTGATTCTTTTCTGATTCTTTTCTGTAGCAAAGTTAAAGTCTTGATTGGACTCTGAAGGAAGCTGTTCTGTTCAATACTCAAAAGTAACTTATAAATGTAGTAGGTACTGGAAGATAACCAAGAAATTTTCAACTGTGCACTTACCTAGTAGTGATATATATATATATCTCTTAATAGATATCACATCACGTGCCCGGAAACTTTTCGGACACAATTGAATATTTGCTGATCAATCAACCATTAAATCGATCCTCAAATTGTAAAACAATACACGCCGCCATCTGAACTTCTTGATCGATAGATATACACAGGGATGGTCTGGAATAAACACGGGGATACTATGCTGTAAATTCCATTACTCCCTTAACGCCGTTTCCATACCCATTTTCCACACCTCCATACCTCCATGGGTCTGATCCTCTCATCTCATTCATTCCGTATTAGAATATAAATAGAGTCAGCCAGTCAGTCATATAGAATATACATATCCAAATCTATAGAACTCGACATTTCGTTCCTTTCCTCCCTCTCCCTCTCCCTCTACCTCTACCTCTACCTCTACCTCTAATCTAAGACAGCATCCCATCACATCCTCTCTATAACCCTAATAATGAACTTTCATCACTTCCATCACTTGCATCACTTCCATCACTTACTCAGTAATCAAATTGCTCAGCAAATCTAATTTGTATATAAGTACTATATATATATAATACAAAACAAAACCAATGAAATCCGTTGACTTTCCTCCCACTTCTTCAACAATTATAACCATAACCATAACCATACATAGATAGAGGAGTGAGTAACTTTTACATCTGTATCTTATTATTATTTTCGAGCTGTTTGTTGCCCTTCTAAAATTCATACAGTAATTGGGCTCTCATCTTATCTCAGCTCAGCTCATAATAGTAGGCGAAGTGACTACCTAGCCCAAAATTTCCTCAAGACTTCCTTTGCATAGCATAGGGCTTCCTATCTATACAGTAAAGTAGCCTGCCTACCTAGGTAACTTCCACTTCCATTTTCACTTCCACTCTCACTTCCACTAACTTCTTCTCTTTTTACACTTCTACACTACTCTACTCTACTTGAGTAGCCGTATCTCACTTCACATCTCTCACCTCTCCTTCAACTTCCTTTCCATTCTTCAACTTCCTCCGAGTCTCCTTTCTTTAACTTGAACTTATATCATCTGACTTGTACTCATACCCATATATAATTTCCAAAACTCACCCACTCACTCACTCACTCCATCACTCTTTGATATCATATCACTAGCCCTTCTAGACATTCACCCACTCAATTCAACCAACATCAACACCAACACCAACATCAACATTAACACCAATACCAACGAATATACCAACAAACATATTCATGAAACAAAAAAATATAAGTAAAAAATAAAAGTAAAAAATAAAAGTAAAAATAAAAAAATTGAATTTGGGTCTTCCCCCTCCTCTTCCCCTACAATCTACCTATTAAAAAGTTCTAAATAAAAAAAGTTTCGAATCGTAAACCAAGGTAAGCTAAGCGTTTGAGTATGTGGTAAACAGGTAGACCGATAGAATAAGGGCTTTTAACTCTTCATCTTCTCCCCTATTCCTATCGTCTATTAATCATCACCCATCACTCATCATCCATCCATAATCCATCATCCATCCACACTAATGCATCCATTAAATCCACTCCCATGATGCTTGTAACAAAAAAAAAAGTAAAAACGCCTTCATATGCAAATCATGTCCATCCATCCATCCATCCTTTTCAAACCCGATTTCAAACCCGACATGAATCTCCATTGAGAATTTCATACCATACCATGCAATATGTACAACTATTCCACCTCTCACCCATGTCCCCACGCAGATGGCCCCACAAAGCATGCCAGGTCATCCACCCCCTTCATACCTCCACCTAATTCGTCTTCTTATCCTCAGTATCATAAACTCTATCATCCTCTCCCTCCGCTTCCAATACTTGTTTCTCCATTTCCGCAACCTGTCTCTCCCATTCCTTCTGACCCATCTTACTTTCCCTTCTGAAAAGTTCCTCGTTAGGTTTTCTATAACTACCTCCTAGACGATCCCATAACGTTGTGTATTGTCCATAATTGTAGTTAAAATAGAGATGATGCATCGTATGACAAGCGGCTCCATTCAGGATTGGGGAATTCGCTACATATTCACCATCATGAATGAAGACGGTCCAGACTTGAACGAAGAAGAAGAGGCCTAGATATGCGTATTTTTGAAGCGGGAAGATGAAGGGGAAGATATGATAAGGGAGGGATTGCATCCAACCATCGACAGGGTGGAAAGCGATTGAGGCGTAAGGGGATGGCATGATCCATTTGTGATGGGGTTTGTGGAGAGCTTTGTAAAGGTAGGGGTGGTGAAGACCGCGATGGATGAAGTAGACCAAACAATCGGTAAAAATGAGGAAGAGTGGGAATTGTAACCAATTGTACCAAACACCAGGTCCTTCCGATGTAAGATCGTATAGCTTCGAGTAACCCATTACTTCGGCGAGGAAGAAGGGTGTAGTGAGGATGGACATGAGGGGCATGCTGTTGCATGATTGGGAGATTTCCTGGCGAATTTGATTTTTAAGGAATTTAGGATGTTTAAAGGTAGTCTTGTCGAACACGAAGACGTAGGAGAGGGTGGAAATTGTAAAGTAGATGACTGCACCTGCGATCCTATTGAAGCATTAGTATTTGATCTAGACTTTTTGTGTGTCAGTAGGAAGTGAAGTAACATACCAAGTGAGCAAGAACAATGAGAAAGCCTGTCGATAGATATTGTCTCTATTCAATTGACTCGTGTATGCCGCCTCGGTAGGTTCGAATTGAATGAAAGAATTTGAAGGGTGGTATTGCCATGTTGAAGCAGTTTTCGCATCGAACGTTGTACCATTAAGTTGTTCTCCAATTGCATCCAACAGTATCGTCTTCGCAGGTAGTATAGCTGAATAGAAGTAATCGAAGAAATAAGTATCGGTGAGCTCCAAAGCGATATCCATATTGACAATTTAGTCTCGGAGGCAACTTTTCGAAAGAAGGCAGTTATTATATATCGACTCTGTCTCAGAGTGAGAGGTAACTTTTCGAGAGAAGGGAGTTATTGTATATCGATCCAGACTCAGAAGTAAAGAGGTACTTGGTCGAGAGCAGGTAATTATCGTACGCTGTGCTGTGTATTCGTATACCGTGTATTTGTATATTGTATATTCGCTATCTTTTGATTTCTCTCTCGATCAATAAAGCTGAGCTGAAGGAAGCTATACTGTACAGAAAGATTCCGATGAACTCAAAGAGTGAATGGCTTTTGTCTTTGTACCTAAGTTATAGGCAATTGTGATTGTAATTGTAATTGTGGTGTAATCTAATGTAGCGATTGAAACAATCTTAAATAAAGGAATTTGAAAAAGAAAGACTTTGGGTGAATTAAGTAGAGAGTTTGAATTGAGAGCAGAATAGAGAGTAGAGAGCAAATAAAGGAGAGTGGTGGTAGATAGGTAGGTAGTAAATGGGTGGTATAACGCGAATGAATTATCGGAAGTTACTTTTGAGAGGAGGGATGAGAGAGAGAGAGATGAGTATCTATATCTACTTGTTGTACATTAAGTAAGAATATATTGGTAACCAATACTCGTATATATTTCTCAACTTTTTTTTCCCTAATCGGTTGGACCCTCTTTATTATCTAATTGATCCGACCCGTTGCGATCAACTAGAATTACTAGAACTAAATAGATATAACTACTGAGTAATAAGGGGGTCAAATAAAAGTACAAAAGTCTTATTAATCATAAAGCTAGCTGGGTAGTTGGAAGAAAATCTTATTATTACCGGTACTCTCACTATTGTACCTCCGTATGCACGAATCAAGTGATGTGATGTGGTAAAGATGATTTGATCTGATCTGATAAGATTACAGTAACTAACTATCTTTTACGAGAATCCTTTCGTTTATGGGAGAGACATTTCGAGTTTTAAGCTTTGAATACCTAGCTAGTACCTATGGTCTCATTCTCCTTCTTCAAAGTCATTATTCGTTCCATTCCATCCACTCAACACCGCGGCAATTCTACTTTCCGAACCCTCCAAATCAGCTCAGATTTCTAAAAGAACGGATGTCGGATCACGAGACATTCTATTCTATTTCTGATATTATCCGATTGGTGTATCTATATGAGGTTATCTCCGGTACCTGCTTTGAAATATCTGGGTAAAGTCTTGGGGGTTTCTTATAATACTGAGAGAAAAGAAGAAGATTCAAGTGTTATTACTCGAATACTATACTTCTTTTTAATAGAAAGAAGCCTTCTCAACCTCTAGAATGTCCCTTCTAGAACCTCACAGTTACCAAGCCTCAAACCTCAAACCTCAAACCCTCAAACCCGAACCCGAGCCCGAACCCCTATTTTACCTCATATGCTATATACCGGTAAATATTTCCCCAACCCCATCCATAATCGGTATTATATATTCGGTTTGATTAACTGATTGACTGATTGACTGCTTGACTTTATTGCGCAAAAGTTATCCGGTTCGGAATATTACACTTACCGGTACTATAGTATGCATACCGGTATTAAGCAATTGAAGCTTGCTATGAATTGTTTGGTATCCGTCTGAAGATTGGCGTGATCTTCTATTGTAAGGATTTGACTAGCGGCAACTAGAACTCCGCTTCATTGTTAATTTTTTTTTCCACTTTCCTTCCTCTTCGCTTCTTTTCGGAAGGGCTTGTCCTTTAGGCTTTAAAAGAAGAAAAAGCGGCAATAATAGAGCCCACTTATAACTTACCCCACTTTAGCCCGGACATCATCCTTGTCTCCACATTTGACTGGGATTAATGATGGACTAGAGGACAACTTTAGTGTGTGTGCTTATTTTAAACAGATGGGTTAGGTGAGTATATCACATGACATCAATTTCTGCTCTCTACTTGCTTTTCAATTCGTTTTATGATCAACCTCTCTCTCTTGTGAAAATAGAGAAGAAAGGAAAACTTGAAGAGAGAAAACTAAAAGAATTCAACTACATTTCTATTTGTGGTTTTATACCAAATCAAATCAAGTTCTATCTGTCTGATTGATAGAATCTTTTGTAGTACAAGAAGAGACTCTCTCTCTCTCCCTCTCTCCTCCTTCTGCTTCAGATTCTACTACCGGCCGGTAACAACTAGCTTACTGGGGATTCTGAATCTGAGTGAGCCGAACTGGAAAGAAAGATTCATATCTTTTACATCACTGGCATCCACTTTCTTCTTCCCTTTTTGTACATCCATCCATCAACCCACTCACCCGCCCGCATATACAACACACTTTAGGTCCCTCACGCCAATCTAAATCTACAACCTCCAAACTCAAACCTCTTGTCCTCACTCACACACTCAAATCCACATCAACATCAACATCAGCATCAACAACCATCAATACATGATATCACATCTCTCATCCGAACATCATCAGCGTAGATCAATAACTTCATTTAATTCAATCATCATCACCTCATTCTTATCAACAAATACTTAATTGCCGAATGCGATTAGTAGCTTTGAATATAATATTTATCCACTTAGCAAGCGTTGAAATTGGTCTTGCGACAGATTGATACTTAAAAGAGTGGCAAACGCGTTCCACACTTCAACTAAAAGCTTCAAACTAAAAACAAACTGTTGCGCGCAACCAAAGTAAGTGTTTCATTCATCTTCTCCCATGTTTTCCCTTCTTTTCTCTCCAACTTTGGTTAGCTTGGCGCAGCGTAATAACAGAGATGTTGTGCGCTTACCACCAATGAAGTTAATATCCCATAACCTTTCATTCTAAGATTGCTGACCATTAGAAGGAACATCAACCAAAACAGCTTCGATATTACATCAAGGGACGAATAATACACAATGTCCATGTACAATCATCGCGGTTTGGGTCCTGCCCCCGGTAGCGCTCGATTAAATGAATTGTTGGATGGCATTCGCACTGAATTCGACACTCAACAACGAGCAAGTGGAGAATATGAACATAATAGTGAGTCGCACATCCAGATGGTTGAACGGACAATGGCGTTGGTGCATGGCAGGATGAGGGAGGAATATCTCAAATTCGGCCTCAACGTGGTCATGATTTCATAGCGAGCGCGATGCTAACATTATATCTTTGTAGTTGCACAACAAATACAAGAGATGCAAATGGTTCGAGAAAAGGTCTATCAAATGGAACAAACACATCTAGCTTTGAAGCAAAAGTAGGGTCATAGATTTCGTATGAGAGAAGACCAATTTCGCTAACAATTAAAGATATGATGAAGAGATTCAACGACTTCACCGCGAACTTGAGGTTCGAGGAGGTGCCCCTCGTCCACCTGCCATGGGCGGTCCACCACAACATGCGGCTCCATCCCAAGCACCGCCCTCGATTGGACATGGCCCAAGCAACCTCTTTGGAGGGATAATGGCTGGTCAAGCATCCCAAGGAGGTCCAGGTCTTGCTCCTCCTCCACAACAACAACAGCAACAGCAACAGCAACAACAGCAGCAACAGCAACAACAGCAACAACAGCAACAGCAGCAACAACAACAACAACAACAGCAACAACAGCAACAACAACAACAACTACAACAACAAGATGCGCAAGGTCCACTACCACCACACGCAATGCCTCAACCTCAACCAACCCTTCAAGGACCTCCAATACCTCAACAAGGTCCTTTCCAAGGTGGTTATCCTCCACAAGGTCCCCCACAAAATGGTCCATATGGTCCTCAGCCTCCTCAGTCAGCCGCTTCTCCTGGCCCAGGGAAAGGAGGCCCGCGCCAAAACCGTGGCCCCGGCGGCCCAGCAACTCCTCAAATGCCACAACAATTGCCATATAACGATCCTAGACAATCACCTCAAGTTGGTCACCCATTAGCCGGTATCCCTCGAGGACCTGCATATCCTGTAGGTAATGTGGGAAATGCATTGGCAGAATTGGATCTGGAGCGCCTACCACCTCAATACAAGAAAGTAGAGGCCGATTGGTTTGCAATCTTCAACCCAGATGTTCCAAAGATTCTTGATGTTGATCTTGTTCATACTCTCATTCACGAATCCGTCGTTTGTTGTGTTCGTTTCAGTCATGATGGAAAATTCGTGGCTACGGGTTGCAATCGATCTGCTCAAATCTATGATGTTGTCACGGGAAATAAGGTTTGCGTCCTTCAAGATGACACTGTAGATTCCGTGGGAGATCTTTACATTAGAAGTGTTTGCTTCAGTCCCGATGGAAGATACCTAGCTACTGGTGCAGAGGATAAATTGATCCGAGTATGTTTATTCATTCTTTAATCATGTTTCACGTGCTAACCATACATAGGTCTGGGATATTGCTTCACGAACAATTAGAAATACATTCGCAGGACATGAGCAAGATATTTACTCTTTAGATTTCGCCCGTGATGGTCGTACCATTGCTTCCGGAAGTGGTGATCGTACTGTTCGTCTCTGGGATATTGAAGCTAGTCAAAACATTTTGACTCTTAGTATCGAAGATGGTGTGACCACGGTTGCTATTTCACCAGATACTAAATATGTTGCTGCCGGTTCTCTCGATAAGAGCGTTCGTGTTTGGGATGCTGCTACTGGATACTTGGTCGAACGTCTTGAGGGTCCAGATGGTCACAAGGACAGTGTTTACTCTGTCGCATTCGCACCCAATGGAAAAGATCTTGTTTCAGGAAGTTTGGATAAAACCATTAAGATGTGGGAGCTTGTCGCACCAAGAGGTGGTCACCCCAACACAGGTCCAAAGGGTGGAAGATGTTTACGTACATTTGAAGGGCACAAGGTGAGTTTAGATTGATTTTCTTTCCAAGAATCATACTAATGAATTTCACAGGACTTTGTACTTTCCGTTGCTCTCACTCCAGATGGAGCTTGGGTTCTTTCTGGATCCAAGGATAGAGGTGTTCAATTCTGGGATCCAAGAACGGGTAATACTCAACTCATGTTACAGGGTCATAAGAATTCTGTTATTTCCGTGGCACCAAGTCCTTCGGGTGGTTCTTTCGCTACTGGTTCGGGTGATATGAGGGCGAGAATTTGGAGTTATAAGAATATCTAATAGATTTATGGATTATGGATTATGAAAATTCTTGCGATGGGAATGAAATTAAGACAATGAAAATTATTGATATTCAAAATGTTTAGGGTAAAGAAAAATATGCTATGTTCTAATATACATGCCTAACCAAATGAGTCAGTCTATTTGATAGAATAAGACGAGGTGAGGCGATCAATAGTGTACATACTCCAGTGTATATTATTTCCAGATAAAAGATAGGAAATTAAAAAAAAAAAAATTTCCTTTAAGAAGAAACATTAAGGAAGTCAATAAAATTCAATAAATATAAATATAAATAAAATCATCACTCATCATATTTATTACTACTATTCGTACCTAGTACTGAGTAGGTAGTGTTGTATACATTCAATTTCATACATTCAATTCCATTCATCAATTCAATTCACCGATCTTAATGATCCTAATCATACCCATCCCATCCCATCCCACCCCTTCAATACCACCCCATGAAACGCATTCTCAATCGCAATATCTATTTTTATTTTCATTTATTTTCGTTATTTATTTTATTTCTCTTATTCTCCTCAATTGAAGTTTCCTTTTCCCTCTAATCCCCCATCTCCCATCTCTCTTCTTTCCCCAAAGTCTTTACCCATTCCCTCTTCACCCTCAGATCATCTCAATCTCAATCTCAATCTCAAAAAGGACAAAGTAGGAATGAAGTCAAGTCAAGTCTGGAAAAGAAAATATCCATATCCCTCATCTCATCGAAACATCGAAAGAGCTTCTCACAATCTATCTAAGTAAGACGCCAACGATCAGTTAAAGGAACATGGGATTTTTCATTGATGCGCGTACGCCTATGTTTTTTATTCCATTCCATCTTTAATCCTCTCCAATCGTTCGAAATGGATATGAAGAGAGAAAGAGGATAAGAAATAAGAGTAAGAAAAGGAGTAAGTAGAGAGAGAGAATGAGAGATCAAATAGGGAAACTACTTTTGTTGAGGAGGAGCATTGGCAAAGGTAACACCCTTGGAAATGTTACCCTTAAGACCTTCGACACATGCAGCCAAAAGTTTCTTTTCGGCATCGTTAATGTTGGAGAGTGGGTTTTGAGCCTTCTCGGCACCGTTTGTCTAATTGATTGTTAGTTCTCGTAATTTCAATTTCAAAATAATTGCAAAGGAAAGTAAACATACACCAAGTTCAACAGGAACTGAGAAGAAATCAAGACCAGTCTCCTTAGCAATAGCCTCACCACCTGGAACACCTGGAAGGTAGACGAATGTTGGCTCAACAATACCCTTCTCACCGCTCAAGGCCTTCAGGACCTTTTCAGCGAAGCTATTTTCTGGTCAATACAAATCCTTACATGTCGACTTCTTGAAACATACCGGAAACCAGCATAGGCCATAGAAAGAGTAGCCGAACCAGCACCATCCTTAGCCTTAACAACCTCATCACCACCAAATTGAATTCTGTTAACCAAAGCATCCAATTTATCAGCTGGGATCTCAACGCTTGGGTTAGCTTGGCTGAAAAGAGGAACGATAGTCTCTCCAGAGTGACCACCGATAACTGGGATGGTCAATTCTTGAGGATTGGCCTTTCCAATAATCTCAGCAACGAAGGTCTCAGCTCTAACAACATCAAGAGTGGTAACACCGAAAAGACGTTGAGCATTGAAGACTCCCTTAGCCTTGAGAACCTCAGCGGCAATGGGAACAGTAGAGTTGACCGGGTTGGAAATGATGAGAATATAGGCTTTTGGGGCGACATCGGCGATGATCTCAATGAGACCCTTGACGATACCGGCATTGATGTTGAAGAGATCATCACGAGTCATTCCTGGCTTACGAGGAATTCCTGCTGGGATAACAACAATATCGGCATTCTTGAATGCCAATTTTGCACCATCATCCTTTGGCAAGTATCCGGTGATTTTCTATGCAGATACCACATATTAGCCATTGTGCTAGCTTTATACTTCATCCCAAATACTGATACCACTCATCCCCATTTCTTCAGATGATATGATATGATATGGTATTACATAGTATACGTACAGCAGGACTGGAGATGTGCGAAAGATCCGCAGCAACACCTGGTGTATTGACCACATCATAAAGTGCCAATTCGGTAATGAGAGGAGAAGTCTTGAGGAGAAGAGATAATGGCTATAATAAATCACACATCAACAAATTAGCAATCCATTCATACACAGACACATAACGTCCATCTCCTGTATCTGCAAAGTAAAGCCAAAAGCGAGCAAATAAAACTCACCTGTCCGATTCCTCCGGAAGCACCAGCGACGACTATTCACCCAATCTATCAGTTTCTTTCCAATCTCATTTCTGTAAATTTGAGAATACCCACCAGCTTTGAAACCCATTCTGAGATATGTAAATGTAGAGTAGATGTAGGTATTGGTATTTTGGTTTGTATTTGTGTATGTGCTTGTGTTTGTGTATGTTGATTTGGTTGTAGGTTTCTGTAAGGTCAATCGATCAGTATTCATTCAAAACAATCAGCTCATCCATACCCCGCATTAGCCATCCAAACCCAACACACAACAAATGGGACCCCTCAACAATCCATACATCCCTACTTACACCCCTTCATCTCACCCCTCACCTAAACAGAAATAAAACATACCTTTTTCTTTCAATCTCAATCTCAATCTCAATCTCAATATCAAATATCTCTCTTTATCTCTCTCTTTCTTTCTCTCAATAAACAAATCAATCAATCAACCTCTTATCTAATATACTCGAGTATAAACTTTAATCAATAACAAGAAATCGCAGCTTCCAAAAGTAGTTAGATCATCATATCAAACTCAAGTCAGGTCAGAAGCTCAAAGCGAATCCGATGGTTGGCTAGAGGGGTAAAAAGCAAAAAGGTAGCGGGGAACATATCAAGAACTCTCCTTTTCATTCGTTCAAACAATCAAATCTGTGCGGGCCGCAGGGAACGGCAGGGAACAGCAAGGGAACTCGGGTCTTACCTGGTGTTTAATTCGTGCAACTCGTGTTACACCTGGGCACTGGTGCGTTCTTGGTAGTCTTGGAAATTGAGGTTGGGAATAATTCAAAGATATATCGAGTTCAAATGTTAAGAAAGAAAGGATGAGAGGATAAGAGGATACTGGTTGTTTATATCATCTACTCGAGTAAAGATCTATACACAGCTCGGCATCTAAGTGACCTAACCTTGGGTAAGTCTGGGGAAATGGCTCCTGTCATTGTCTAGTAGCCGAAAGTCCTATCCGTTTCGGAAGCCTACGGACGTGAATTTCTGTAAACAGGTGCATTAGGAAGATAGCTCTACGAATTTGTTCCGGTTTTCATATTCACATGTTCGTATATCGCAATTTGAGCTCTGTAATGGGTGATTGCTGTTCCGTTGTGGATTCCTCGAATTCGTGCTTGATGCCGAGCCATTTCTCGTCTGTAAACATTCAATTGACTCCACCATCGAGTCTCACAACCATTTCATAACCATCACTCGAAACCCCGTCCATATATGCCCGATAGATCATGATGTAACCGATTCATTGAAAACTAGTTCGTATGTCTGTCTCAAATGTCATAAAAATAGACTGCTCCACTCGTTAAGAGTACCTGAGCAACCAGACGAGACCCAACCAGTCCAACAATAATCAATCCCCCCGTACCCAACCATTCCAAATGGGTATTCTTTACTCGTCCTTCTCAGCAGCAGCCTTGGCGGCCTTTGATCCTCTAAGCTTTGATACTGGGGCATCTTTCTTGGGGAGTTGAGATACGAGAATAGCGGAGGCACGGGCGACGGCTTCAGCACGGAGATCAGATCTGTATCCATCCTTGGCGACGGTCTTTGCGACACCAGCGAAGGTCCTATTTTGAGGAAGGAATCGTTAGTATCATACCGTTCCTGGATACGAGAAAATTGTGTAATCGAATTAAACATACTTTCTTCCGGCCTTGCTGAAGGTGACCTTGGTCAAGCTTGAAGCTGGCTTTTGGCTGGCAGAGGTCTTCTTGGTGATTAAAGTAACACCCTTCTCAGCTGCGACGACACCGACGGCCTATGCATCAATCTAATCAGCACCTTTTATTCCATCCTAATTCCTTCATATGTTGTTGCAATAATCGGGATCGAATTCGAAGCGTACCTTTGGGTTGACGTAACCAGCATACTGAGACTCTATTAGCTTTTGTTCTTATCTGAAAACCTCCCAAGAAAATCTGCTGAAAATATTCCTGATAAATCCTTACCTTTCTCGAGTACTTGTTGGTCAAGTTCAAAGGATCTTTGGAGAATTGACTTCCACCACAAGTTGTACGCTTAACCAATAAAGCACTCTGGGATCCTAGATAAATTCCATAACCATCAGCAATCGTCTTCCTTCTTCCGACTCTTCTCCATCATCCTCTGCTCTCTCAAGACGCCGAAGCCCAATCCATAATCGTCCTCTCAGATCCTTTCCCAAGTCCCTCAACCTTCGATTCCAACCAAGCCTTATCACCCAAATTCCAGCAATAAAATAGGTGCAACGTACTGGTGATCTCCCAGATCAAATCAGGTGAAATATTTTGAGACATATTAACGGCGGGTGATTGAGAATTGAAGAAATTCTTTTGGTCGTTGGCGGTAATTGAGATATTGTCTTGTCTAAGTATCAAGATCTTGTCGCAAAATCGTTAAAATTCACGAATCACTGGATTTGTGCGTCCAATCAGATTTCGTCTCGCTTATCCTATTTTAGTCTCATCTTGCCCACCCGCAGCCAAAGTATTGATGCCTTAAAGCTGACTCATTATATATAAGTATTTAAGGCATGAAAGTGGCATTCGTCAACTTCCAATCGCATGTGGAAAGGCGGTTTGTCAAAAAGTAGTCATGATAGACAGGTTAAAGAAACTCAAACAATAATTAATCATTCGGATGAAGCGGGCAACCAAACTTGGTGTTGAGCTGACGTTGTTTCTAATTTCGAGGTCATTGCCATAATCTTTCCTTCTAAATACGGTAATTATCTTATTCTATTCTATCTAACTTATTCTTTTCTTTTTTCTTTATATTTATCTACTCAGCACCCTTAGCTCCCACGAACTATTTCATTTGTTTGAAGAGAGTTGGACATTGAACATTGGACACTTGAACATTGCGACGGAACACCGCAAGCACACTCAAGGTCAAAATGGCCTACATACTCTACACAACCGTTTTTATCTTCCTCATTATCTCAACCAGTAAGTCGCTTTCCCCAGTTTTTGATTTATTTGGATGACAATCCTGCTATCAGACTACTGGTCTTTTTTGATTCTTGCTACTATTGTCAGACAACCAAACTAACATCCTCCCCTCTAGTCGCCTTCATAACCCGCGACCGCTGGTCCCCCTACATCCCCGAGCGTCTCCTCGAGCGTCTCCCCCGATTCATGTACACACCCTACTCGGCGCTCCCCCATTCCTTCGAAAACGACATCGAATCCGGCTTATCATCTTCGAATTTCAATCTGTCGCAAAACTTGCTAGATTCCGATCCAAGAAATGGACTTTCGGATAGTGGCAAGAGGGAAATTCAGAGGATAATGAAGAAGAAGAAGGTTAATTTTGATGAGGCGAGGAGATTGTGGATGCAGGAGACTTTTAAGAGGGAAAATATTGGGTCGGATGGAAGGCCAAGGGATCCGAAGTTTGTGAGCTTTTCGTGAGGCGAAGGGGGAGGGGGGCTATCCGAAGCTACCAATGGTTTTGCTTGGGGTCGAAGTTATCATCCTCGACGCAGAAAAGTTCTCCAGACAAACAACGCAATCTGGAGGATGATCACATTGGTGCTCTAGCCAAATAAGTCAATCTGGAGGACGATCATCTGGATGGCTTTTGCATAGGTATAGAGGAACTCCTTGGAACTTACGATAAAAGGCAACATTTTGACCAGAGACCAGAGATTGAGAGGGAGGGAGGGCATAAGATGGAGAATTGGGAATTGGATTGGATTATGGATCAGCGAGATATACCCTAGCGACAAAGAAAGGATGGGAATGGACTTGGACGGGGAACCTAGGGAATCGGACGGGATGGAAGGTACCTTGACACTTCAGCGACAGGTGAGCACTGGTACATTGTTGGGAGCTAGCTGGGGGACTACAAGCAAGTGAGCAAGGCGTTCATGGTTTTCGAGTCAATGACCAAAATTCATAATCTTCTAGGAATAGGTACTAGAGCTATTACATTGTCACGACAAAAATTTCTACTTTTACTTTACTTCTAGAGTACTTTTTTCGTTCCAATTTCTCACTTATTAGTACAATACAATGGTATCATGCAAACATAATTGAAAAGGAAAGAGAGAAGATAGAAAATGATAAGGTATCGGGTGGTTAGTGTATGAAGTTTAGTAGAGTGCGATACAATATGGTGTTTTGATATTATCATCGCTTCAACATGCGCGAATCCTCCTATCTGCATCTGTATATGCATATCAAGTCCCGGCTTCAGGGGTCATTTTCCCCACTAACCCTCCCCCCTTTCCCCCCAAATCGCAGTACACTGGTGACATGATATTTTATATACTCATGAGTCATGGCCCTGCCATTTCTGGTCTGTCCTGTCATGTCATGTCCTGTCCTATCCTATACTCCTTGCTATGCATCATGTCCTTCCGTTCAGTTTCGCTCCATACCATGCCGCTCCGTGCCAAATCATGCCATACCATGCCATGCAATGTCGCTAAATCGCAAATATTATTGCTACTGTTCTGTACAGTGTGGTATTGAATATCTTTCATTTTCTCGTTTCGTCCCCGCTTGGCCGTCTTCGCGTGGCGAGCTGTGCATATTAGGAGCTCATATCTTCCCATTTTGACAACGGCCTGATATCTTGTCGGATTCTGACAGCTCCAGCAGAATATATTGTGTTTTTCTCAAGCGATCCTAGTGTAGATCATCATTTCCCCGTGGTAGTATTAACAATACTCTTAATCTGAAATGTAGCGCCTGGCAGTTCGGTTGTTTCCGCTTGAACGGTGGCATTTATACCCATTGAAGCGAGGGCTCCGCGAATTATGCCGCAGGGGAAGTACAAGAACTGTGGTTTGGGGTATCAGCTAGATGTTGTATGGTATTTGGGCATGATAGTGAGAAGAATAACTAACAGGCTGTGCACGTGTAACTGCGTTTCCACCTGGCTCCGTACTCATGCGCGCAAAGGGGCGGAATGAATGGTCTGTTAGGACATATACTCCCTGTTCCTCTGCATTAGTACTGGTTTCCCAACCAAAAATACCACAGGAAAGAAAAAGAGAAGAGAGGGAGAAGTGCCCTATGGTTTGTCTTCAGGTTATCAATCTGTTTCCTAAAAACTAACATCCACAAATCTTTACACAAAAACTTGATCACATCTAACGTATCCGTAAACCGTGGGCGATCTTTGCTAAACCTCTCGACCAAGCCCAAGCCAACGCGATATCCGAGACTTTCAAGGCGAAAGAAGACCCGATCGCGTTCTTCGTCTTCTTCCATTTTGGGAGGGTGCGAAGGGTCGGGAGAAGAGGAGGATGAGGAGGATGCCGGCGCATCAAGTGCTTGGACAGTGCGGTAGGCGAGGGGGACGAGTTCGATTAGGAGGAGGTCGAGACACGAGGAATTGAGGAAGGTGGCTGTAGGATCGGAGGCATTATAAGGGGGGAGCGGAGACTCGAAGGACATTTTTGTGGTGGATGGAGGTAGGGTAAGGTGCAAGTGGTTTAGTTTGCGGAAGGAGGATGGAGGATTGAATAGATGTGGTGGTTCGAAGAATTCTTTGAGAATGGAGCAAACTGCCTGGAAACGATTGGATGTGCGTGACCTGCCGTGAGAAAGCGCAAAGAGTAACGAGATGTTAAGATTAGAGAACGTGGTGAGGTTGCGAAGGGTGAATTTATGAATATGCGGCAATGGAGAAGAGGTAGGGTAAGCTATTTGGAGTGATTTCATCGGACCGGGCCGGCGCGCAAAAACAAATATCCGCGCCAAGATTTGACTTTTGGGGGAGAACGATCATTGAACAGCTTTTCCAATTGTGTCAGATCATCAATACGCCAATCCATACAAATTTACAAATTTGTCTGGATTGTATCTAGCGACTCTACAGAATTTCAACTAGTGGCCGGTCAGCAATACTGACTGCTCATTGTAAATAGATATCCATGACTTCTAGACCTTTGGTGCAGGAGGCAGTCCTTCTCACCCACAATCAAATATCCTGCCTGAGACTTCAGTTGCGTCGTACATGTACATTACTTACTCGACACATCTGATTTTATATTGTGCAGATATCACAGACAATTCGTTTTTGCAAGCCCGATTCGGTATCGTCATCTCGAGAGTTGTTTGCGTATGATATGTGCAAGGGTTATCGCTACCTACTCAAGTAAGTAAACAATGTTACATAGCATTATCAACCGGTCTTTTCTCCTTTACAAGGTAAAAAGAGAAACTATGAAAGTGTATTGAGTGCGAATATGCTGTCCAATTGTTGGTTCAAGCTACAAGCTGAAGGTTCCAGAGCAGTACTTTTCGAACCTTGCAAGATCTATTCCGGAAGCTGAATTGGGAGTTTGTTGTATGGATTGAATAAGTATATGTTGATTGGCATTAGGTATCAGAAATGTCAATAGCCACCGAAACTTTTAACACTTTTGACCATTTTAATCTAGAAAGCAGGATACAATCAAGCTCTCTTCATTCAAGATTGTCTTCCATGCCAACATAATCATTTCCTCGCGAGGGAAAATGAAGAAAGCTCCTCCAGCCCCCGGAAATTTCCAAGTCACAAACATGTCTCGGACCTTAATGTCACTGCTGGGGGGGGGCTACAATCATGAAATAATTGGCATACAGCAGAATGCAACATATAAGAAAAAATCATTTAAAATCGTTAGATGCAGCGAAGAAGGAATGTGAGGTAAAAGAGTTATTGACTACTGAGAAATTAGTCGGGTGGACTAAATGGTTGGAATATTGTGAGATCGAGGAGAAGAGATCAGCGAAAACGATGATATACATTCATCAATTTCATTTCATTCCACCTTCAAATACTATATCCTCTATTTATTCATTTCCAAATATGACCTCCCCTCCCTATCTCCCATCTCCCGTTATTGACTTCAACTTCTTCCCTCAATCTCTATCCCCCATTCCCCATCTTCCTACCTCCCCGTTCCAACTTCAAGTTCCCCCTCAATTCCCACCTCACATCTCAATTTAAATCTCATCCATATCCACATCCACACTTCATACACAGCAATGCCCAGCAACTATCTCAGCACAGCCAATTACATCACAACCCAATGTAAACATAAAATATAATCATAATCAATCATAAACACAAACCACCACCCAGCCCTCAGCACAATAATCCCCCTCTCATTCCATCCCATCTCCTCTCATCTCCTCTCCCAATTAAGATTAATATCACTCATAAACCGATATAACACAATGCATGCATATTCATATATAAGATCAGGGGAGTTAAGCGGGAACTCTTAATTAATGATAGTATTTCCATCTTTTATTTTCTATTTCTATTTGAATATCCCATATCCATATCCATATCTATGTCCCATTTGCCAATTTCCACTTCCTATTTCCTATTTCCTATTTCCCATTTCCCATTTCCCATTTCCCATTTCCCACTTTCTATTTCCTATTTCCTATTTCCTATTTCCTATTTCCTATTTCCATTTTCATAACAATAACCCCCCCAACAAACCCCTCTCCCTCCCTCCCAGCACCAGCACCCAGCTTTTGCGCCCAGTTCGGTTCAGTTCAATCCATCCAGTTCACTCCCCCATTTACTCTGCAATCTACTATTCCATCAACCGAGAGCAAACACACAAACACACACATACACACAAAACCCTCCAACAATGAAACAATGAATCGCTACCATATAATATAATTTATGCACTTACAATGTTCAAAAACGCTAGCGCTACTGCCAGTACCAGTGATACGAATACTCATCCTCTAATCCACCCACCCCATTCCATTCCACAAGATACGATACAATAAACCCTTACCTTAACAAGAAACCCAGCATCTAATCTAATCCAACTTAATGCAAACCCATGCAGTGCCATGCAATCCCATCAGATCAGATCAAAAGTCCTGTCAGCCCAACTCCTACTCCCAATCAACGCCCCTTCCCTTCCCATCCCATCCCATCCCATCCCATCCCTCCTCTCAAAACCTAAAACACCACACCACAACCGGGCCCACCACCCCCCCAAACCACCTCCCAGACCACCTCTCCCTTTCCCTTTCTCTCCGCCAACCCCAACCCCAGCCCCCCAATCACTGCACCCATACCACCTCCACCTCCCCCTTCCCCTCCACCTCCTCCTCCCCCATCACCTCCCTTTCCACCCCCCCTCCTCAACAAAACCCCCCTACAACTCTCATTCCCCAGCACCAGCACCCCCAACACCAAACAAGCCCCCGCCCCCATCCCTGCATACCTCAACACATCAACTAAATATTCTTTT